CTATGAACTTGAAAGGCGTTGACAAGAATAAAAAAGGCTTCACTCCTCCCTCCATATATTTTCTTAACTAAGAGCTATGTGGTGATGTCATATAGGACTTCTAAAACGTGTTGACTTTGCAAGATACGTATCTTAACTTACAAGATAAGTTTTTTATATGTACATCACATAATTAGCTTGTTCTATAAGCTATCAACATGTAGTTAACTTGTGGATCAAGTTTCTAATCTACTAATCAACTACAAATATATATAAAGTCAAAGCAGCATCTATGAAGCTTTTAGGAAGCTACTCTAGAAGGTCTTATGAAATTAACATACTTTTATCTTCAAAATATATAAAAAATACAAATAAATATCTATTTATATTATTAAGACCATTGGCCTCAATATGACATTAGTGAATGTACATGGGAACTAACAAAGAATCTTACAAATGTAACAACATCAATAGAGGATTTTTATTGATGACATTTATCAAAACCAAGAATAAAAATATTAAGTCTTTATTATAAAAAAAACAAGGTCGAGAAAAGATTGCATTCTATCTTCTATCTTTCTTTGTAATTTTTATGTATTTGTGACACTAAATAAATGAAGAATCAACAACTAGTAGATTTGATTCAAGAACCTTCATTTAATAGCCTGTTGGATGAGACATTGCAATTGTCACAACCTTCAAGATGATGCAATCAAGATGAAGATCCTCAAGAATAATATGTTCTTCCTTGAATAGATGGCAAGATATAATGCATTTGATATCACGACTTTAGAAGGAACTCTTGATGTTTGGTGATTTTACTAGAGGTAGGAACAACTTTTGATGGTGTTCCAAATATTTTATTTGAAAGAAGTTATTAAGGTTTCAATGACGATCAAATAACTAGGTAGTCTTCCCACCCTAATATATAACATTATTGATGGTTGAGAGGCCCTATCAACCATCTTTGAAGAGAACAAAAATCAGAGTATATAGTAAATATAATTTGGCGCATCTTGGATTTTTTCAACATATGATAATCGCTTCTTATAGAACTTGTTCCTAGAAGAAGAAGTAATGTCACGAACATACACATATAAACCAATAATTACCTATATAATTAGATAAAAGTAGATAAAAGTAGATTAATTTTATTGTATCTTTTATAGTAACTTCTTAAAAGCTTTATAGATATTACTTTGATTTTATACGTGTCTATAATTGAAAACTTGTCTTGTAAGCTAAGGCATGTTTCTTGCAAAGTCAACACATATTAGAGGTCCTATAGAACATCGCCACATAGCTCCTAGTTAGATAGTATATATAGAAGCAAGACTAAAGCTCTCTTCACTCTTGTCAACTCTTTTCTTGCTTCTAATCTAGATTCAAGAATTTCTAGTTTCTTTGTCTTTTGGCAATAGCCATTTTAATTTTCTTTTAATATACATACTATTTTATTTTTATTTTGTCACTTTTCTTTTTAACACAAATTTTTCATATTTGTACATCTTTTCGAGTTCATGTCATTGATACAATATCATTTCACTTAATATCAATTGCAAGTTGTTAAAATTATAAAACATATAATATTTAAGATTAATTGTCTTATTACAAAATATGAATCTTGTTGCTTGTAATATAAATTGTATTGTGTTCTTTATACATGGATCAAAGTTTTATTAAAAAAACTTTTGAATTATCTAATATTAGATCACATTGTTCAAAAAAAGTTAAAAACTATGATAATACAAAAATTTAAAGTAGTGTTTTAATAAACTTGACTTGTGATTATAGAATTGGATAGCTTTGGTATTAAAATTCAATCACAAGTAATACTTGATTAATAAATCTTCATAAATTTGATCTTATTCTACCAAATATTTTAGGCAAGGAAACTTTTGATTTTTTTAATACTTAAATAGTATTTTAAATTAAGAAAATTAGTATAATTTGATGTAAATGTTGAAACAATTCTATTCATCTCTATATCTTTACTTCCTACTAATCTTATTCTTCCTTATAGTAGTAAATTGAGTTGATGCATTGCAAACATTAATTCCTTCAACTATTCTTCTATTTTGCCATTACATTCTTCATTTCAGCAAGCTCTATTATAATAACACAATAGAAAAATAAAGATGTTTAATATTCCTCAAGATAGGTAAAAGAGAAGACTTAAGAATAAAAAAGATTCTAAAAATATTATCAATTTAAAAGTGGATATTTTGTAACTTCTAATATGTTAATGACTTATTAAGAAAAAGAAGTAATCTACTTTTAATTAAGAAAAGACAAAGCTTTGATATTGTAAGTATACTCTTATCAATCTATTAAAAATAAGAACTCAATGAATGAAAATAAAAAAAATTAAAATGTTTCTCAAAGAAAAATGATAAAAATAAAATAAATAAATATAAATAATTAAAAATAATTTGAATGGCTATTATCAAAAGATAAGAAAACTGAAGACCCTTAAAATTAGATTGGAAGCAAGAAAAGAATTGACAAAAATAAAAAAAAAATAAAAAAGGCCTTATTCTTCTCCCTATATATATTATCTAACTAAAAGCTATGTAGTGACATTTTATAGGACCTCTAATACTTACCAACTTACATGATACATGTCTAATTTACAAGATAATTTTTTTATATGTATACCATATAATTAGCTTATACTATAAGCTACCAATATATGGTTAACTTGTTGGCCAATGTTCTAATCTACCAATCAACTAAAAACATGTATAAATTCAAAGCCATATTTATAAAGCTTCTAAAAATATTTTCTATAAGATATTATCAAATTTATCTACTTCAATCTACTTCTACATACTCATATCATTTAGATAATTATTAAAATAAATATATATATATATCTATTATAATAGATTTAATAATATCTTATAAAGAAACTTTTTAAAAGCTATATAGATGCAAATTTGACTTTATATGTATTTAAAAGTCATTGATAGGTTGAAAACTTGGCCGACAAGTTGACCATGTATTGTACATTTTAGTAACTTATAGTACAAGTTGGCCACATGGTGCAAATAAAGAAAACTTATCTTATAAGTTAGATATGTATAGAAAGTCATATAAAATATTGTCATGTAACTCTTAATTAAATAGTATATCAAAACAAGTATGAAGCCTTCTTCACTTTTGTCAATAATTATTTTTATTATCTTTAGTTTTGTTTCAAAAGCCACATAATTTTTTTGGCTTTAACAATAGCTATTTTAGTTTAATATTATACCATCTTTGAGTGATTATTTAATTTTTTCAAGTAAAAAAAGAATATATTAATCCTTTGATTCTTTATAATTCATATTTTTGGTATCTCTTCATTTACATATAATATTTTATTACTATATATCATTATATTTTATACATATTTTATATATGATATTGTTTTAAAATTATAATTTTAGTTTAAAATTAAACTATTTCTATTACTTTCTTTATAATTTTTAATTGCACAATCTACCTACTACATTAAACTATAGAATTGGCTTCATTTATAATTAAATATCCAAAAAACAAACATGATTTAATTGATTTTAAATATTGTAGCTACAACAACCCTAAGGATTACTAAAAACTACTTAAAATAATAAAGTTTACACTTATTCATTACCAACCTCTACTTACAATTTATTTAGCTAAGATTTGATATCTTTTCATAATGTTTTTTTTTTCAAAAAAATGATTTTATGTTTGAACTAATTTTTATTATTATTATTATTTATTATATGTTGAAAATAATTTTTATTATTTAATATTTTTGGATATATTTAGCATAAAAAATGTAAAGCACATTACAATGACTTGTCTAATTCTTAGAATCATAGTATGTGGTAGAAAAAAAAAAAAAAAAAAAAAAAAAAAAAAAATACCATCTGTATGCACTATTAGTATAAAATTGCATGGAATGTTTGGAATGTTTTGCATTGTATATAGGGAGTTGTTATAGCCACACTCCAATGTTGTTATAGCCACACTCCAATGTTGTTAAATCCACACCTCAATGTTGTTAAACCCATATCTCCCAAACTATATGATGATTAATTTTGGAGGATAGGGAATAAGGGACATAAATAGGGAATGAGGCATAAGAGTTGGGAATGGACAAAATCAATCATAAGATGGTAATATGGGATGTGGCTTTAACAACATTGAGGTGTAGCTTTAACAACTCCCTACATACATACATGTATATACATGTACACATATTTTCATTTTTGCTTCAAAAATCACTAAATATTTATATATATATATATATATATATATAAATTGTAAGATATTTGCAATTTAATTGTTAAAAAGCACAAAACTTTTTCATTGCTATTACACCTCACGTGTACACCAATTAAATAACCTATTTTTTTTATAGTTATACATGCATACAGAGAACCGAACATGTAGTAAAAAAAACGTATTTTAAAAAATAAATAAACACACAATGACTGCTCTGATATTCAAGCTTCTGGTCATGAACGAAAATGAAGATTATTATGTTACTACCAATACTATTATCTTTGACTCCATTCCAATTCCACACGTTAGGAATATCCTTATTCCTGTATGTGCTAATTTTCACCAGTTACTCAAATGCAGGCCACACCCACACCAAGGTCCGGAAGCACAGTGCACTACCCTCAAAAGTTTGAAAACTCGAAGGACAGTCTACTCATCAGAGGTAGCTCCTTTTTTTGGACGTGCACGAAGACGACGTTGCAGCAAAGCAGATCCTGATGCAGGGCCTTCTGGTGCCGTATCGACCATGCGTACCTAGCTCCGCCCGGAACAGGGTTCCGAATCCTTCGCGCTGACGAGCCTACATTCTGCTGTCACGTGTGTGAGAATCATGTAGATATGGAGTCCACTTGCTTGGTCAGGATCGAAGGTTTCCACAACCACATGCTGAGGGCAGGGCTGGGCCATCCATGGGTTGTGCGAAGCAACGCCAGATTGGTCACCGTGATGCAGAATGGAAATATCTGGTACCCAATAGCTAGGCACTATTTGGTGTTTCGCCCAGGAGGTCGGTTGTGGTCAAGGCGTCCTCTCATAGTGAATGCCGGGCCATCTCGCTTGCCCTGCGTGTTGTAAGCTCCAGGACCAGGGCTCTGGTCTCCAGCCGCGCCATTGAGCCGTTTCGCTAAGCTGTAGGCAGGAATGCAACTGTGGATGGTGGGATCGTAAGCTCCAGGCCCGGGGAATCGCTCCTTCGCTATGTCGGCCGTTCTCGTGCGCAAACTGAAAGCTGGACCGCCTTGTGCTAGCTTGGGATCATACGCCCCTGGTCCCGGATTCTTCCCTCTGCTAGAATCGCCAAGCCGGCTTGCCATGCTGTAGGACGGAGGGCACGACTGAGTAAGTCGTGTGTGGGAGGAGTAAGTGGCGGGACCTGGATTGTCATCCTTGGATTTCCGTTTGAGCTTGGCAGGTAGGGAGTAACTGGGCCCTGCGTATTGAGTCATTGGACTGTAAGAGCCGGGACCTGGTTGGCCTTCGTCCCCGCCGCTGCTCTTTAGCTTAGCTCCGATAGAGTACTGTGGTGCTTGGATGCTTGTGACCTTGTCTTTCACGCAATAAGCGCCAGGCCCGGGGTTGTCATTGTATTCGTCTCCCATCGCCTCCAGGATCCGATCGAACTAGGTTTAACAAAAAAGTGGCTGAATTTCTTTCACCCTGGACATGTCTGAACGGATTTCTAGTCATTGCGAAGTGAAGAGTTGGCATGAAGCATATCATTACTGGACCGTGGCGCGTGCATGGACGTGCCTTTCCGAGGCACCTCTACCTGGCGAATACTGTCAGGGGACGGTTCATGTGATCTGGACCATCGGTTCAAAGCGAATAACAGCTCTAGAATGCTTCGATAAAACCTCTCAAAATTTCACGTCCTGCCGTCGGATTGGTTGTTCGCCACGCACATTGTTCGTTTTGGATGCGGCTTCTGTTGGGTTCCATAGCTGTGTGGCTTTTCATTATGGCAGTGTCCATAATTTTAAGTTGCTGGATCGTTTGTGTACTTGGTCTAAGTCCTACTTCTACCCCCAGCTCAGTGGTATGATATAAGCCGTGGGACTGGCCAACGGTATTATCTCCATTGCAGTGGTTCTCACAGAGTTTTCGTCGACGAATTGAAATTTGCTCATCACTGGGTGATGGCTGTCTCAACGCACATGAAGGACTTGATTGTTCTGTAGTACAGAGTCGTACCCAAGCGAATGTGAAGACATGCCGGTCAGCCAACGCTTATTTGGAATGCGTACATGAAGGATGGAATGTGAAGAACCAAATAAGTTTGAATATACTCCAAGCACTGGCTGAAAGGGAGCTGAAACCCTTCCAAGGGTCCATTCTCACATGAATTCGTGACGATGTGATAAGCGTTCGGTGATCCTGGAAACAACGTAGTGTTTGAGTCCTTGATCACGTGCTTCGCGAACACAAAATCGATTGTGAAAGACAATGTCAAAGAATCGACTCCATCAAAGTTTTGTACATCCCCATGGTTATCATTTGTCGCCTTTGCATCAGTCTCAATTCTCTCTCTCCAGCACACCGAACTCCTCTAAATTACTAGTGCAGCCCTTTCGTGAGCCTCGATCTGCAGCTCTTCCTACAAACCCATGTTCGTTACATCGGCAGTTCATATATGCCAACATCACTGTAAGGTCTGAATCATGGGAACGGACTTCAAATGTACAAATGACAGTACTCTGGCTTCGATCTCTTAAACAGAACGCCGTCAATTTACCAGAAAACTGCCACAGAAATGATCGTGGCCACCAAACCGCGCAGATCATTCCTGGACTTGTAGGATGGTAGCTGCAAAGCATTGTAATGTGCATCTCGTGGCATGCAGTAACCCCTTAAGTTTCAATTGGGCATCTAGAAAGCATCGATGACCAACCGAAAACATGCTTTGATGCAATTAAATCTGCAAAACTAGAGCTGTCGACACGTCCTTGGGTTATCTGCAGTCGCGGTAGCCATAATTCCCCACCGACGTCTTGTGCTGGTTCACACACTTCCTCGGGTGACGCCCCTGGATGCTGTAAGCCGGCCCCTCAATCTTCGTCCGCACGTTGTAACTCCCTGGGCCGGGAATGTTGTCCTCTTTCCCGTGCCCAAACCTCTTCGCCATGCTGTAGGAGGGAATGCAATGGTGTAAATTGGGCTCATACGCGCCAGGTCCCGGGTTGGAATGCTCTCCTCTCGATGTCGTCTTGATTGCAAGGCTGTATGACGGCGCTCCAGATCCAAACCTTGGCTCATAACTTCCCGGACCGGGATTCTTATCCCTCTCCCCGATTCTCAATTTACTGGCAATGCTATAAGATGGCGCACCGGAGCCAACCTTGTATTGATAAGCTCCAGGACCAGGATAGTTGTCCCGTGAGCCACTTGCTTGTCTCGCTGCGAGAGTGTACGCAGGCCCGCCAGACCGTTTGTTGGGATCATACATCCCTGGACCAGGGCTACGGACGCTTGAGCTTTCTGCAAATTTTTTAGACAAGCTGTAACAAGGCCCACGGTCATTTCTGTCAAGATTGTATGACCCAGGACCTGGATTCTCGTCTCTCGGTGCTGTTCCACAACGCTTTGCCAAGCTGTAAGCTGGCACAGAAGAATGGAGGGATGGATCATAAGCTCCGGGACCTGGTAAGTTTATCCCCTCGCTCGTCTTGGGTCGCACTGCGATGCTGTAGGATGGCGCTCCCGGCGCCAACCTGCTGTTGTACGCTCCGGGTCCCGGCGTGCTTGGCTTTGAAGCGCCGTGCATCCGTGTTCCAAGGCTGTACGCTGGTCCGCCGAGGCGTGATCTGGGATCGTAGCTTCCGGGACCAGGGTTCTGGCCGCCATCGCTCCATGCAAACTTGGCTGCAATGCTGTAAGATGGAGCGCAATAGTTTGTGAAGCCACTTTCGGCAGCGTATGTGCCAGGGCCTGGATTTGTGTCGCGTGAGTGGCTACCAAATCTTGCTGGCAGAGTGTAGGAGGGACCTACTCTAGCTAGCTTTGGGTCGTATGCGCCCGGGCCTGGCTGATCGTCTCGATTCTTTTCTCGGAATCTCTGGCCAATTGAGTACGTCGGTGCAGTGTATGTGGTGTAGTTGTCTCTAGTGCAGTAAGCCCCGGGACCTGGATTGTCATTGCATTCTTCCATTTTTGTGCAACGTTTTGCTCTCTACGATCTCGACTGCAGCGGTTTAGTACTCTGTACCTGGAGATCGTTCAAACAATCGATTCTTGTCCTCAACACTGCGACTTCGCCTAAAAATTTGTCACCTCAAATTTTTAGCAGTCTGTTGAATATCCAGCTTGGCATCCGAACATGCACGCACACCTCTCGTTAAGAATTGAGACCGTGTGCTCCTAGGAGCAGAGAGAAATTTATGGTTTGACATCCGGGTTTTTGCTAAAGCAATGTTTGTTTACTTTCCATGAATGTCTTGTGATTCTGAATTCCATTGTTCACACTGTTCACAAACTCCTGGAGGACAAGTCAGTCTGACCTGAAAAACCTCACGAATTGGGAGAAATTGATCGCACGGCATTACAGCTTGTCGCGATTGTAGCACTCCCTCCTGTGCGTTGTGCTTGCACAGATTGTATTGCTCAATCGTGTATAGGTTAGCCTCTGAAATGATAGATTTTCCTGGTGTCGTCACAGCATCCTGGGAGGTCTACTTCTCACACATCGCATCTCTAGCACTCCCTGAGAGCACAGAGATAAAACTTTTCTCCGAGACAAAACCAAAAATATCTCCGAAATGGGACACCAACAGCCTTGCCTCCGTCCGAGATTCTGCAAGGGATTGAAATTTCTGTAGGTTGGCTTACAATTGCTAGAATTTTGGGGAAGTGAATTCTAAGAGATGCAATACGCAACGTCTCTTGCGAAAAAAACCTTTGGTACAAGAGTGGCTTCTGGAATCTAGGACATCATTGTTAAGTCCCATTGTGTCGCAGCTACGGGATCTCATGTACACCACGTAACACATCGTTTCAGATGTTGAACTTCGTCGTATCAATGAACAAATGTGAAGCAAGCAAGTTTCAAAACCAAAATATGATCTCACGTCTTGTGAAGGGTGCGAAAGTGAGAGGAGGACAATTTGCGACTCTTCGGAATGCCCTGAGTTTACTTTTAAAGAGTATATAGCTGCATCTACACCACTGGATTGGCTCGCTTCAATCCGCACCATCCAGGAAACTATAGTCAAACACGATTGAAGAAAAATTGAACTCTCACAGTGAAGAATACACATTTATTCAGCACCGGCAGCTGGTCTAAAGTGAAAATGCTCGGCATTAAACTCTGAGTAACTTCATTTTTGACAGATCATTAACGCATGTATATTCCAGACGACCAAACACCACCCACAAATGATCACGCTTTAGCTTACTCACAAGAAAATGTCCCATGTAGTTTCGGGATGAAATGAATGCCTTACTAGTAAATAAGGAATCAGGACAGCTGTTTGCACAAGTATAAAGTGCAATAGCCACGTTCAACAATAAAAAGCTTTATCTAAAAGCTTGAAAGAATGAGGGTCGGGACGAGCATTCCAACTGGGAATAGTGCTTAGGACAAGCTCTGTCAACAAGCAAGGTCTGAAGATGTTGCAATGAAAGAGAATACACATTCTCACCAGAGCGTTGCGTCCACGTTGGGGTGGCAGCAGGAACAGAATCTGTCAGTCTATCAAAGAAAAACAATTGTCAAAGTTATTCCTGAGACAAAGACGCGTCAGAAGAACGGATAGACCCATCTCTGTGCTTGTCAGCGCCATGTGTTAGGTGGAAGAGGGTGTAGTGGAGGCCTAGTCGTAAGGCATCTGCACAAATTCAGAATTCATGAGTAAACACGGCTCAACCGAGAACGAGGAAAAATTCGCAGCTGGGGCACGTGAATGAATCGTGGCACTGAGAAGGTTCTCATTCCCAAATAGGATAAGAAGGCTGTCACGTATTCAGTTAGCTTTTATTCGAAGTTATCCCCCCAAAAGTCAAGGATTGTTAAATGTTAATATAACCTTCCACTGCATAGGTGAGTTTGCGGGGTATTCTGAAGTTTACTGAGTGATTGATCACGGGATGCACCCTTTTTTTAAATATAATATGAAGTACTACGAAGAATAAGAAGCTGTTTTCGTAAACGACAATTGAGTACAACATTAGCAACTTTCAGTGTTCAGATGCAAAGATGAAATGTCACCAATACTATGTACAGTGTTTTGGTAAAGTCAATTAGCAAAGCGATCCTCATTTAGAAAGGAATCGTTAGTAATAGAGCAGGGATACAAACCGTCAGTCACGCATTCATGAGCTGAATTTGATTCAATATGCACTGTTTGCATAAATGGATATAGTACAACTGTTGAGAAAGGCAGAACAGCCATGAACAGATTCAGCCCTTTGGCTGGCGACTCTGCAAACTTCAGAATACCCCGCAACTTTTTGATCACAAAGCAGCATTTTCCGTGTTCAGTCTCCCCACAAGGATTCACTATCGCATAAGAATCTAAACCTTTATACTTCCTCAAGCTGTTCCCAAGGGAAGCTGAGCTACTCTACATATGTACATTGTACAACCATTTATTCTCCTGGTTAGTAAGATGGCCTGCAGATCGAAGAATCCATGCCAGATAGATCTTAGTTAAAGCAACAAAAACCATCTGCATGTACAACGAAGCTTTGAGAAGGTAGCCGGTTGTATGAACAAAAAGGAGTTGTGGTCGACTTGAATCATACAATGCCTGATTGGTGGATGGGCAACCCTTGTAAGACGATACTTGAATTAGATCTTGAATGCAACGTCCGCGAATCACTACAAGAATTCTCGAAGGGCAGACAAGAGTTGCGCCTCAACCCCTTCACATCTACTATCACTTCGTTCAGGAAACTCTTCTCTTCCTTGACATCAACCGATCTACCACTCTCCTTCACAACCCGCTCGCAAGATCCAGATTTGTCTCTCCAGCTGCCAGATTCTGTACTAGTCGAAAGATCGCCAGAACTTCGTAACCGAAGTTGCAATCCATCGTGGTCAAACAAGGAAGAAGATGAGTCATTACCCTTTAATGTCGCCGGGGGTGCCAGGGAGGGGCATGTCTGACAGTTAGGGGAATCACTGAGGGCATCTTCTGGCTTCTTTGGGTTTTTTCCAAATTCGTCATTGATAGCGAAGGCAGAAAAGCCTGGGTTCTGCACGATCACCAACATAGGCCTCTGCGTCTCTCCATTTTTGCAGATTGAGGTGGGCTGCAAGATTCAAAAAAAGCAATCAGACATTTCTCAAACTAAAATCATTCCATGCCCTTGCCATCTTTGAATCTCGATCTTCCTAAACCTCCTGGACTAGGTTTTTCAAGATCAGGATTCTACCAAGTCAATGGGAGAGAGGAAGCAACCCTGCCGAGGAGAACGCAGAAAAGAAGCTCACCACTCCAATGTGCCACTCTTTGTGATTCAAGTTGTTGAATTGCTTCTCATTAATCTCCTGGAAAACCACGACAATGGCTTAAGACTGCTGCACACTATAAATTAAATCTGACGGTGTAAATGGGTTCATGAATTCAGGAATAGTGCCAAAAGAATAGCAGAGTAGAGCAGATAAGTGCCTCACAACGCTGTAAATAGGTGGCAAGATACGCTGACCAGAGGAATGTAGAGTAGGAATGACTGTAAAAAATGGAGTCAGCTCTCTAGATCGGAAGGTCCATCTGCAGACAAGAGTTGCAAAAACAAAAAAATGTGAATATCGCACTTGCATACTTTGCCATCTTGTCAAAAAGTAGGAAGACATTAGAGAGAAAGTAACAAGAAACGGCGAGAAAGAAGAATATGGAGGGGGTGTGGTTTTTAGGAATGGTCACACATAATGCTGGTAGTATGCGAATGTCTGCATACCACTGACTATCCCATCATTGTGGATCAGAGAAAGTCAAGCCAAATAGATAATATTGTGACAAATACTAACCCAATGTAAAAGAAAATGACAATCTCCGAACATTCTCGCATAAGCAAGCGCATCCAATACTCATTAGCCGTGCCATCGGATCGTGCATGCATCTGCATACAACAAGGTAGCATACACATCATATCCAATATCGCATGTAATGACTCCATCGGACTGACTTATCGGACGCTTCCTTCGTCCATCCTAGCTCATGACTTTTTGACACAATGAGGGCTACAAAAATCAAGATCCTTCCGTCAGCAATCCGTTGCACGGCTCTTTGACACTAGTATTAGTTGCACTTAAAGCCCACAAAATGTTATTGATTATATCTCTACGTATACAAAGTAGTAGCATATGAGAAGCATCAAAGGGTTCGAGTGCTTACCAAAATTTCAGCAATAACCATCATAAGCATTCCACGCTGAAACCTCCTGCAACAGATGACCAGGTAAGCTACATTGCATCTTGACGGTCAAAACCGTAATTGACACAAGGAACAATTTGAGGACGCAGCTGTTCTCTTGGTAAATATTCAACCATGATTTCAAGGCTTACTTGAACATTGTGTACTTGATGTAAACAGCAGTGTGCATCATGTGGACGCCTTCGTCCTGAATCAGCTGAAGCTGTTCTCTAAGCAGCGAAAGGTTGCGGGCAATGTGTACCATGATGACATAAAGGATCAAGCCATAAATTAACACCACCAAAACCTGCACACGCGAAGGACGAAATAGTTGATATATCACCTCAGAGCAGTTGGCCGTTTGCGCGAAAGCGAAGACCACAGCTCCCAAGCGACTTCACACCCTGGAAAGGTATTTGGATTTCATTCACATATTTCACTTAGTGTGGAAGACAAACGTTAGGATCATTGCCAGAACAGTACTTTGTTTTCTCCATCAGCGGCAAACGTCCACTAACTTTGCAATACCGCAGCATTCTGTTCAATATCTTCCTCAACTCTCTGAAATCGGACCTTCTGTAATTCCAGGTCCCATGATGATTTCCGCATGGCCAGGACTATTGTGGCAATCCAAAAAAAATACTATTTTCAATGGGTAATTCAGGACCACGAGTGTCAACAGTTGAGAGAGAGGCTCACGGTGAATTGTGGAACAGCCGCCTTGTAGCCGGTAAGGGTCAAGTATAGGAGCGAAGCAAGGCCGGCTATGCTGCGGCGTTCTGTCACGGGAAGTTGATCATGCATGATGCAGTAGCCATGGGCAATTAACAGGAATGCCATAAAGCACACAGTCTCGAAGAATATTCGCGAGACAAAAACTCCAAAAGCTACCCAGAAGGAGCAGGTGCTTGAATTCAGGCACGAATACCTACAGTCACACACACATTTCAGGAAAACATACGGATCATTGAATCGAAACTCTCTAAAGTAAAGAGTAATAAGGCGACCAAGATTCTACGGAAATGCCTACATTACTTCTATTAATCTTATTGGTGGTCTGAAAACAATTGAAATTCACCATACCCACCCCAATCTAGCCAATGAAAATGAGTGGGTTGGTTACTATTTGACACCGAGCAAAATGTAAGTAAATTGGTGACAAAGATTCCAAGATCACAGAACTTTTGAAACTTGAGGGACCCAAGGTGGTGATCACGAAGGTTACCAGAATATGAAGGAGAGGGCGAGAACTAGAGATTTGAGAACTGGAACAGCCGTCAACATCCATTGCAAGTTACTAGTCTGTAGTTCCAACAGTCCAGCCTTGTCAAAAAAAATTAATGAAGAATTCACAGCTATATGGGGTGATCGTTTCTAACTAATTCAAATACTTAATATTTGAACAACCAGTAGCCGCTACTGACAAGAGGATGTGCTTGAGCTTCACACATTCCAAAGGACACCGCGAAGGACTTTCTTACAACTCCACAATTTCAGCCTCTTATTGTTAGTTAATAATAGATCGGTAATAGATGGCGTAAGATGGGGAATTGTTTCAGGTTAAGTCAAAATCAACGATAAAATAGGGTGCAATTATTACTTCTAACACGCTTGACGAGGGCGACAGTCAGGTAGAGAAGCGCGAACAGTGAAAGCGAAACTCACAACCTGATTGAATTCAATTTCATTGAGGTTGGACAGACAGTAATACAGGAGGGTTTAGTTCATTCTAATGCACTGGAAGTGTAACGGCCTGAAAAGTTTAGGGTACAAGCTGTTTCAGCTCAAATTCCGTGTCTAAAATGTATGCAAGTACCTGCAATTGCCGTTTGGTCCACGTGTTGAAAGTCCACGCAAATACCAACACCACCCATATTATCAAAAGGCCAAAGAAGAGGCAGGGCAGTGGTTTGTACGACTCTTCCCACTCGCTGGGGTTGGTGATCACGGGCCTCTGCACATGGTCGACGACAGCGTCCATCGCTTGCTGGCTCGCGTTGTTCACCCACAACCACAAACCCCCTCCAGCTGTTCAAGAATTTTATCTAGAATCTCAAAACTACGAACGCAGCCAGCGATCCATGTCAGGAGGTTGCACTAGGCTGACTGCATCTTCACGCGCCAGAAATAACCCCTTCGAGACAAATGAAGCCGAATTCAATTCCTACAGAATTGGTTTTGGCGCTTCAGCTGAGCAACTGTCCTGCAAGACTGGAGACAAAGTAGGTGGGCACTCACACTAGCTACATGCCACTCTGACGTTCTGAGACAAGCCCCGGAGACATAGGACTTCGAGCTTTTTCTGTCTTCATAGACCGCTGCCCGACGGATTCAATATCTTTCAAAGCTTCCCTCCAGTAGTTGGAATGAAAGCACATGCTTCATCGTACAAGAACTGCACACAACACCTAGAATCCTACAAGAGAAGGGGGAGGGGGGGGGGGGGGGGGGCACTCACTCTACTCTCGGCAGCAACTGTCTACTGCTAGAAATTGATCCAGCAAACAAATAATTCCTGCAAACCGCAGGCCAAGACATCGTTAATGGCGTGCTCGAACAACCAAAGACAAGATTGATAAACTCCTGCACCCCTCCTCCCAAACCACGTCCAAACGCCCTCCCAATTAATCCCAATCTCCCCAAGACACAAAACGGAGTGCCCACTTCTCGATTGTACGTTGACACGAAAATAGAGCTGACAAACCCATCACCTGCGCTCTCCGCCACACTCACCGTAACGCAAGTCTCGTGAGAGACGTCGAACAGCAACGCGACACGAGATCAGAATGAGATCAGGCAATACATTTGAAACAAACCCAAACACCAGAGGTCCCCTGTCAGGCTTCCACACGATCAAGCAAGGCAGGCAAGAGTGGCGCCGCTGCCCTGAGCGTATAAAACTTGGGAATCTTTCCTATCTGTCCATCTCCCCGTAAAAATATGTCTCTGTATGTATCCCGACAAACGCGAGGATGACGACCAGAGCTGAACCTCCAGCGAAGACTGATGCGGCAGGGCCCTGCTATTCCATCACATCTTATACAAGCCAGCAATTAACTCACTCCATCTCTCTCTCCATCCTTCTCTTCACTGCACTGTGGCAACGCATTCATTCCACCTGGCAGTTGACACACCCGCAGCAGCCACTGTGGCAGCAGCATTCAACTCTCGTATCATACACTTCACGGACCGTAACAACGCCGTCTCGACTACCACTACTTACCGGCAGGCTATCCAATCTCGTCGATGAACGAATAGCTACGGCGACAACTCCATTTAGTGACCCCACTGAACTTCAGTCTTATTTAACCAAGCGACGTAACGATAACATCGAAGATCATGGTGTTTTCCGTTTGCAGAAATATTAACTTATTCGACCGCTCAGAGGAACCCACCAAGTAAGAGCAACCCACCAACGCCTCTGTCGACGAGGATGCCTCATATTATACTTGGAAATGTGCGGTCCCCGCAACATCGCTCTTCGCGACGATTCATGCATGCTGCGCTGGCAGCCATATGAGCAAATCTGCATTGCTCTCGTTTACATTGTTCCTGTTGCCCCCCTTCTTCCATGGCGATGCGGGGCTCCGGTGCTTGAGTTGCGTTGATTGTCGGTGTAGCTCCCTCCCTCTCCCCCCGCTGCTGCCAATAATGCTCTCTCGTCAACGGTGACCTCGGACCCAATTTCGGGCCCATTCAGATTCAACGATATGTGCCGGAATCACGGCGAGGATCGGCCTTCACGGCAGCGTTTTCACGATGAAGAAGGCGATCCCGAGGGATCCATCGCCCCCCTCCTCTCGACGCCGACGCGCTCCCCTCCTCTCGACGGCACGTGCGACTCACGGACCAGACGGAAGTAAAAGGCGGGCAGCCGAAAACGAAAAAGGTAAATAACTGTAAAGAAAAGGTTGCTATGATAAAGATATATTTCTGTAGCCGTTTCCTTTCCCCTACATGGAGCCATGAAAATCGCATGATAGGTAAATTTGTATGTGTATTGTACGATTTTTTATACTTGTGATTTTGAATAATACAGTGGAATTTCGTTTTTTTTTGTTTTTTTGTTTTTTTTTTCGTGTATTCGTCTTGAGTTTTGGATAATGATTTCTTTTCTGAAATGGATTATAATGATGTGTGTATGTGCATGATGAATTTACGGTACAAAGTATTAATGCTGCTTTTTTTCTTTGAATTAATAAAACATAAATATATTATATCACTCTTTTTAAGAAGCTTGAAATTTAAGGATTTGAGCTTTTTTGGGTGTAAAAAAATGAGGTCACACTTAGATGGTTTATATCTTGTTCATATGAGGCATTCTATTTATTTAGTTTTTGTTTGTGTGAAAAGAAGTGCTTTTGAAATCTTACATTAAAAGCGTTTTTTTCAGTTAAATTGATTGTGCTAGAGTTGATGAAATGCATAATATACCACAAAAAAGTTTTGGTAAATTATTCACAATTACAGCCATGATGAAAATGTGAGTATGTGTGAATATATATATATATATATATATATATTCATATACTCCAATTATTTATATTCTCAGAAATGTGAAATTATTTGTAACAAACTTTCTAGTATTTTTGTACAACTTGATTCTTTACTTTGTGCTATGTTTCATCTCTAAAAGCATGATTTTATATAGTGAATTAATCCATTTTAGTATATACATACTCCTGCTTTTCAACTGTTTTTCCCCCCTTTTTTTTGTTTTTTTCTTTCACAAATTTCTTTAAAAAATGGATCATGGGCAAATTGAATTTGTGAATATATTTTACTTTTCCGTACTCTATATATATTATGTTTGGTTTTGATTTCTTTTTCTTTTTTCTTATAAATTTCCTCTTATAATTATGGAATATCTAATGTAAATGTTTTTTCTAAATAGTATAAGTTTGTTTTGTCCAAACCTTCACACAAGTTAAGAAACATATTGCAAAACGCTGTGATTATTACCAAAAATATCCTTATTAATCAAAGACATTACATTATTGTAACCATGTTAGCCAAATAATACATTATAATTCTTTTGAAGAAAATTCAAAATAATGAACAAGATAAAGATGGCAATGATATGAATTCGTAGATACTCTTTTAAAATTTCAATAACTTTTACAAAAAAAAAAATACAAGATGTGCTAAGATTTTTCAAAAAGAATTAGTTATTAGAATAAAATAACTTCCATATCTTCCATTGAAAATACAATATGCAATCTAAATCTACACAACAATACTTAAGAATCCTGTTGAATGTATCTTATATATATATATATATATATATAGTTATTTATTTATTTATTCCCAACTTCATGTTGAAATTTTAAAATAAAATAATAAAATCTATTAATTTTTATGAAAATGATTAGTAGTATTTTCTATTAATTTATTATTAACTCTTAATAGTTAATAATTCTAATGAATGATTGAAAAGATAAGTAAACCTCTCTGAAACTTTATCCTTTTTTTTTATATATCTAACATGCAGATGTCCCTAAATGGATTAAAAAGGAACTGTTATTGTCTATGTATGTATAATTTAGTAAACTAACAAACTGATATAGATTGTAAAAATTATATGTATGGAACGATGAAAATCATAAAAAATGTGAAAATCATTTCCAAGCTTTGAATTTAAATAAGAATTTGATTTGTACAAGCCTTTTTTCTTTTTATTAAAATGACATTAAAAAGATTAACACATGTTAAAAAAGAAATGCATTTTGCCTATATATATATATATATATATATATATGCGATTTTAAAAGTAAAATCACGACACTCTTGTTTTGCCAAATATCAATTTGATTAATTGAGCAACAGAAAAGTTATAGTTCCGAACATATTTTAATATTTACTTTAAAATCTCTGGATAGTTATCATTCAAAATCGTGAATACTTCTTTAGAAATACATTTCACATCATTCATGTTGTATAGAACTTAAGTATTGAAACCAATATTCATATCTGAAAGTATAGAAGACTGTTGAAACTTTTCCATTTCGAAAATTATAAATAAATAAATAAATAAAGAAAACTCCATTTATGAAACATTTCACACGCTAATCACTTAAGCTGTGAAGTTATTTTTGAATTGCTACTCATCTCCATGGGACTTCCATTCAGAAGATAGATGTTGAAACATGCAAATGCTACAATTAAGAAATTACAATAAAAATTCTCTGAAATTCTGTACATCTAAGATTAAGTCTTGTCTTTATTTAACTCTAAATGTTTTTAATAGGAACTTATTATTTGAAACAAAACAGATATCAATTGTTTAAAACCCAACATGAGAAGAAAGTGCCCTCACACTAATTCAACTCACTCCACATTAAATTAGGGTTAACCAAAACCCATTGTTACAAATGCAAACCAATTGGTTTTTACTATCAGGTTGTTTGAAAGGAGGGTTGGGTTTCTGTACTGAGGATTACACTCCCCCTCCATCAAACAGACTTGGTTGGTAAGCTTGTGCCCTAGAAACAAAAATAAGACCTAATTTTGTATTTATATGTCTATATATATCAAAGCCAAGTTGAAGGGGCCCTTAGTAACCAACATACTGGACATCCCTTCCTCCATTCCTGATGCAGCTCAAAGTGAAATGAAAGTCAAGGGGTGCTGCTGTTGTGGATTAGGATTTAGGGTTTACATCCAGTTTTGCATCATTGATTTTATTTTATTTTATTTTAAAATTTTGATTATTTTTTCTGCTTTCTTTTTCTTTGTTACAAAAATACATCTTTAACAATGTATTAATTTATAAGGGAATGTTTTATGATTTATAATTCAAGGGGAATGTTAAATAGACCCAAGTTTTTACTAAATTGATCCACACATCCTAAAAAAAACTAACTCTAGATTCATTTCTCTATTAGTGGATCTGCAACCAATAAAAACCATCCACATTCATCATGATTATCATATTCTTCATCAAGGATGGATCTATTTAATAAAAACATGAGTCTATTTATCATTCCCCTAAAATAAAACACAAATATTTTTGGTTATCATGTGGAAAACTTACTTCGGGTGCCAAGCAAGCAACTTTTAAAATGAACCCTTGATACCAAAGACCACAACATGATGGTTACTACGGCACAAACACCTTGTTTAGAAACACTTGTGAGAAGAAAGAATATAAATTTATATATATATATATATATATATATATATATATATATATATATAAAACTTCTTTTCAATCTCAATGTGTTCAATTAGTGTATTAAACTTCTACTAGATTTAATCCAATAATGGCATCTTAATAAGCTTCTTCATGAGTTCAACCTCTTCCCTTTGTTAATGTAAAACCATGCCAGACTTGTGTATGAGGACTGTTCAGAAATTGTTTCATGTTTCTTCACACCACTGTCACTTTTAGAGACCAAAATCACACTAGTCTAAGGAACATCAATTAAAACATGAACTTATTATTATTATTATTATTTCCTTTAATCTATTATCATGATTTTTATCACACCATTGTAATCACTTGTTGGCAATAATTCTATATAGATATAGATAGATATGTATATGACAAAAGAAGAAAACAATGATATTGGTAATAATTCAAATTAATAATATTTATATATATATATATATATATGCAAATCTCCACCTCTCCCCCAAACCTAACCCTAACACCAACCCACACACCTTCCAAACCTTGCAACCACTCACTCCTCTCCAACCCTAATCCTAAAAACCCAAAAAGCAAGAGCCTATCCATCCACAAAATCACATGGATTATTAGTGTGTCACTACAGCTAAAATACCCCCTTGCCATATCATCCAAACCCTAGGATTACTAAGGAAATAGGGGTGGGGATTTGGTTTGTTTCTGTTTTGTTTTATTTTTTTCATTTTTGTTGGTTTTTATTGTTGGTGCTGTTCCATGTGGTACTAGAGTAGGCCGTTACTGTCTGTTTGGTTTGAGAGTGGGTAAGACTAACTTTGCTGGGTTTCTGCATGTGTCTGCCCTGCCTCTTCAGTACTTGGAGCTCAGCCCCTTTGCTGATTATTAGATTGATTTACATGTCGTCTGGTGGCCTCCCATTCCCCAACAGAATTGGCACTCATTTCTTACTTCTGTGAATCCTAGTACAATGTGTTTCTTCTGAATCCTTGTAGAAATATGTCACTGAGCGAAGAAATAGTTAGTTCATGTGAATTCTGAGGTTGACTGACACTTCTATATAGATACTTTTGGCCGTTTTTGACAAGGATGTGACTGGTATAGAACAATTTAGAAACTTCCCGACAAACTGTCAGAGGAGTCTACAAATGGAGTGGGTTAAATAAGCACCAATCACAACATTACATGTTTATATTTTCATAAAATAAAGTAAAGGAACTGCACTAAATCAGAGCATGTAATGTGACCAGACATTTGCAACTTTCTAAAATAGGAAGTAAGCCTGTTGGTCAACCTTCTTAAATCAGAGAAGCAAGATATCCCTGGAATTAGTTAACCCCTTCCTTTTGACAGCACAAAATGCTGACAACGGACTTCAAAACTCCAGACATACTTAGGCTTTCTGTTTGTGGTGATTAAACTATGCAACATAAAGGTCGTTAACTGAATGATAGCAATAAGGCGAAGAAATACTGCATAAAAAAAGCAACACAGTAACCCTAAGGAGATGTCATGCAGCAAACGGGTTCAGAAGATGACAATATACACAAGAACAAAACCAAAACAACACCAAAGTTGGAAAACCTGCTTTTACAACATGACATTTAGCATGCACAATCACAGTAACAAGTTGACTACATCTTGCAACAAATAAGTTAGAATGTCAAAACCACATAAACGTGTCCTATTTTGATGGAGTGTTTCAGGCACTGTACACCAGCCTCAACAAGATAGTGGTTTTTTGAATTCAGACCACCACACCATTATCAATACACCTCTACACTACTATTGATTAACATTCCAAAGGCTTGCCTCGATAGTTCTCAGGTCACAATTTGCTGATAGATCAGATTGAAGCATACGTTTTTATTGGCAGCATGAGTCTTTGTCAGGACCTGTGTCATCACAAACCATGCATTATGAGATCTATGAAGGAAAGGTGAGCCACGAATTCTTTTTTTTAAGTCGAAGAGATTGTGCGAAATTAGAGTACCAACCGCTACTCCTACGGAGCCCAAGCCATACAAGCATCAGTGACCAACGAAAATCGTACACTGGAGTCATCGAACAGCCTTGCGACATAAAGAAAATGCATATCTTAACAATGATATACGGTGATTTAGGGTGCAAAGAAGTTTCTACCTCGACCTCAAGACTTCCTAGTATATTGTTTGTAGCTTCAACCATAGATCTTCTCTTCACCTCCGTCAGCCTTGCTGGAGGAAGCAGAGCGTTAGACTGAGGGCAGCGGAGGCACGGCATCAATTTCCCTTCAGTGATCAAGTCGAAAGTTCGAAGACTTGAATGGCTACTCGTTGGCCCCTCCCTGTCCTTCATCTTATCAAACGTAAGTGAAGTACAAGCCCCATAAAAACTTCAAGGTGACAGGGAGCTTATCTATAAAATGTGCACACATCAAGGATAGCAACTGACGCTTCAGAAAGAATGGGACATGAAATATCCATGCAGAGGGAACAGGATTATTTTACATACCAAAAAGAAAATAAAAAATAAAAGAAGAAGCAGAAGCAGAAGAGGAAGAAGAATGAGACCAACCAAAGAGCTTCACGTTGACAAAATGAATCCAGAAAATTAAACTTAATCGCACATGAGATTATGTGCAGAAAGAATCTCAAAATAGTGGCCTAATACCTACTAAAAAAATGGTACAGTACACGTATGAACAAACTACCAGAGAAAGAACCAATATAAAGCATCCTGACGTCTGACATGTCAAGATACATATCTGAGCATGATAGTAAAGGCCTGCCGTTGGATTTCTAAAATAACCTAGCAAGCCAGAGTAAAATAGTTGAATACTCCACATTTTCTTCAACAAAACTTCACTTACAAGTTCATGACTTGAAATAGGAGTTGCTTTCAAAGGAGGTCCATCCTCCTTCAAATCTACCACCAGTTTGTGATGAGTCACCTTGTTGAGCAACGTGATGAGGTAAGAAAGGGTTCGTAGATGCAGTTGGAATAGAGCTTGCTTTCAGCTGAGATACTAGAGTACCTAGCTCTGAACCTCTCCTCCGTTCTTCGTCCATAAATCTTTTCAGCTCCTCAAGAGAACGCATGCCTTCTCTTGAACCTTTTGAAGCTGGGACACTTCTTGCAGCAAATGGATTGAATTGGTCGAGTACACTATCAACTGGTTGGTGATCGGCTGAGCCGAAACTCGCTGATTGTACGAGTGCTGGCAATGTACTGTTAGAATAAGAAGAACACAGTTCCGTTTGATCTGAAGTAACAGAATCACCCCCACCACTCCAGAAGTTCTTTCCAAATGTGTCATGCAGCTCTGTTCTTGCAAGCTGTTCAGCTAGTGCATCTATATCTTCACCGTTAGCAGGCTTGCTGGGGGTTTGTATAGTGCTTTTGTCGCTATCTAAAACCCTCTCGTTGCTGAAACTTCTGCCGTTGACCTGAAACTCCTGGGATGGATTTGAATGGATTTCCTTTGACTGGTTCATGCCTGCCTCTTTTTCCTTCTTCAACTTTGCCACTAGTACCCACATGCTTGCGAGGTCGTTCTCTAGAGTAGTTTCTCGTTGCTTGGCGTCTTCCAGTGCTTTATGGAGTACTGCCTCTTTCTCAGCCATGATTGTCACCAAGGTTGACTCCTTCGCTTTGGCTGCCTCGAGCTCTCTCTTCAATTTGTCAACAGCTGCGTCAGAATCCACATCCTCTAAGTGATTACCATTAGAGTTGAACTTTCCAGTCTTGCTGGCTACATTACTTCCACCTCTATTCACACCACCATTTGCTCGAGACAGAGAGCCTCGACTAGATACAGTATTCTCGGTATCGATGTGGGTATCTCCATTGGTCATCACTTTCGATCGCCCAATATTGCTAGGTGATTTCATTGAAGCCAAAGCAAATGCTGTTTCCTCTGATTTCTTCAGTTCGCCTTGCACCTTTACCAACTCAGCTTGCAGTTTCGCATTCTGAAAAGTAGCTTCCTCAGCCTGTAACAAATCATTTTGTAATTTTGAATTTTGAAATGACAGTTTTGTAACTTCCTCTGCAAGATTCTTGAGTTCAACAGCGGCTTGTGAAGCAAGCTCTTTTGCATACGCTGACTCCTCTGTCAGTTTCTCATTCCGAATGTGGAGACTGTCTTTCTCCTCAGTCAGACGTGAACTCTCCTGCTTGAGCTTCTCTATGCTAACTTTCAATTTCTCTTTCTCTTGCTTCAGGTTCTCAATCTCAGCAGACTGTCACAGTACAGTTCAGAAAGCATCTAAACAGGTCATTGTTGAACAAATGCAAAGCAAACTACCAAATGATTGATGGAATCTTCTTCAGGTAGTCCAACGCAGTAAAAAACGGAATTAAGATACTAAGGAAGACCTTTACTGTTTTTTTGGAAAAGTAATTCCTTTAGATGCTACTAGACATGAGCACTCAGAAGGCATGTTTGTGATGTGAAATGGCATGGATAAACAGAAAAAAAAGCATAAAATTGACTCCCAAAATGAAAACGAGTAAACAATTTCAAAATAGTGCTGTAATCACAAAACTCATTTCTGTACCTGCATCAGGATCTGTGACTGCAGTAGGGCGTCTCCGTCGTCTATGTCCTTGGAGGTAGCCTGTGAATTGCGCTCAAATTTATCACTCTCAGACCCGTTTGTTTCTACATACTGAAGCTCTCCAGACAGATTACCATTGTTCAACCATCCCCCCATTTCCTCCGGATTGTCTAGAAGGGTATTTAGTTGCTTGTGTCGACCAAGATTACCCTCCACCATTGCGATTTGGAGCTGCTGTTGCAGTGATACAACTGTCTCACGTAGCTCGTTGATCTCCACAGTCTACAGATACACAACACAAAATGAAGTTACCTTCCAGATAAAGCACCAATTCGAAAGGGGTCTTCAGAAACCAAAACCTGGGCTCTAAGATGGGGTAAGAGGATTTACTTTCAAAGCAAAACACCCTGAACGTATCAGGTTATCTAAGTGATACTAAGAATTAGATTTTGATCAATAAATACCGATTCAGAGGGTCCGTTTTCAGCCTCACAAAGTCAATGACTAGCTACAGATACGACTAAAAAGAGAAACCAAATGCATTGTGGACAGATATAGCATGAAGACCGCAAAGTATTCTTACCTTTGATTCCAGCTGCTCTTGCAATATGCGGTTATCGGCAGTTTTTATCTGCGGACAAACATCTTATTTGTGAGGATTATACTACATCAAACTATGAGGTATGAAAATACAGTCTGGTAATCTTTATCAAAAAAATTAGAAAATGAAAATAATATGACAACACACCGCACACACCTCAAGGTCGAAGGCTTTCTCATTGAGCTGAGTGGTAAGCATTGCAATTTGCTGCCATCACAATTTGCAATCAGAGGTAGCCGAGCATACATCAAGCATGAGGTTTTAACAGTGGTTTCTCATTGCAATGTCATCACATAAAAACATAAACAATGGGATACTGTACGTAACGGCATTTAAAGACCATAAAACCTTTCAAATAGATAGCTACAATAATTCTATCAAATAGGAGCAGCAAAATCATGAATCCAACCAACAATTGATGAACCCACTTTACATTGTAGATAATAGCGCCACCAAATTACCTGAGACATCTCAAAGGCATTCGCAATAGGTTGTGATGTGACCGCAGATTTAATGCGCTGCTCAAGCATCCGTATCTGTCGTTTCTTTTCATTAATCTCATCCTTAGCTTTCTCCACTTGAGCCTACATAAGAGTTTCAATTCGCTCAAGGTTAGCACTTTGTGACATACGGTCTTCAGTTGACAGGTCCTTTTGCAATTTCAACAAATATGCCACTCATGAAACATCATTCGCGATAAAAATGAAAATCCGAAATTAATAGATTTTGATGCCATGAAAAGATATCGATCTCTCAAAAAAACACATTAGATACTGAAGTAGCTTGTAATATACTTTCAGCATGTCAGCTACATCCAGAATGAGCATACAAGTCGCCAGAACTTACTTGAAGTTGCGCGTCATCTGGGTTATTGGATAATTGTTCCGTCAAGCGTTTCAGTGAACTGGTGCAAAAAGCAACCTCCCCAGCCAGCATCTTAGCCTGCTCCCTCTGCAGATCCATCTGGTCGGCCATAGTTGTTCCCGTCTACACCAATCCAGTTATCACAATTAAGACATCAACGGTCTAAGGAGTAACACAAATGCTCAGATCTAAAGTGACGAGATACATTTTGAACGCCTATTGAAAGGCGTAAATTAAGTTGTAATTGACACTTACTGGAGGTGGCCTTCGACCTCGAACAGTAGCACTAAAAAGTTCCCCCGCTTGAGTGGATTCCGGAAAAGAGTCACTAGGACTGAAAGATTTTCTGCGTGTGGCACATTGAACATCCATTACAGAGTCATAAGCATCTGCGTTCCCGTTCGGCAGATTGTCTGTATCGAAGCTCCCTGAGGGACTTGAAGTGAGAGAATCATTTTTCTGGAACATAACAAATATTATGTCAGCAAGCAGAACACAGAAAATCAGTATTATCTCTCATAGAGTTCAGTACTAATTGGGTCAGAGATACATATACATCACTAAAACCCCAACCACTTTAAACACCTACACAAAGTACCACTATAATTAAGAATACATAAGCAAAATAATGTTAACAAATACGCACCCGAAGCTTGAACCAAGCGAGCATGCCACGCTTCTTGATAGCCTTCTTTTCATCCTTACAACTGTCATCTGTGCCAATGCCGTCCCTGCCCTCCCCCTTCGCGTCAAATTCACCTCCTTGACCTCCCTCATCATCATCCTCAAGTATTAAATCCCTTCGCTTGTCTGGTAAGTAAGCCAACTGCCAACAATGATTCTAACATCAGTAATATCACCACTTTGCAAACAAAAAATAGCCTGAAAGCGCGATGCACCCCAAATATTCCCTATCCAAGAAGCTGGATCAAGTAATCAACCATTTCCAGCACCCAATGCACATGAATGACTGTTCACAGAATCCCGTAGAAGCTGCTATTAGAAACGATGTGTTCGTTCAAGTGAAGCTACATAACAAATATAATAAAAGAGGGTAGCAGAAGTGCAACCTGCACTGAAGGGATCTTGAGATTACAATTCTACGTCAAAATGAAAAGAATCTCATTGATTAGCGAAACACTTGAATGAATAGAGCTAATGCTAGTGAAAATGGCGTGTGCTGTACCTCCTCTTCACCAAAAGAATGTCTTCGCCGGTGATTGGGTTTCTCAGGAACTGCAGCAGGTGGAATAGTATTTTTGGTGGAGACCAGAATGAGCTTCGTAAGTCGTTGAATTCTCCCCATGAGGGCTGCCTTTGCTTGTTCTTCTTCTTCCAGCCGTGACTGCAACTTTACTTGTCCAGCTTCCAGCTGTCAAGCAAGATGACATTACAAATCAGCAACAATGTAAATTAGAAGGCATGATATTGCAAATCCTTGGTACCCAACCTACTTTGCAATCAATCTTCTGGGATCTCGCTAATGCAAATGCAATGCCTACAAATAAATCACCTGTTTGCGCAGATGAGCCAAGTCTTCACTGCTTTCCTTCACAGCATATGGCTGCTCCATGATGCCACGCTTCAGCTGTTCCAACTCTGTTTTCAAGCTAGTAATTTCCTTCTGATATTTCTTTATCAGTGACTTCTCATCGAGGATCTGCCGTGGGGAAATCAGAAAAGGACGAAGCGTAGAGCTTTATATCAGTCTAAAAGACACTCAAAAGCTGGAATATTACAGGTCACCTGAGCGGTTACTGAATAGTCGCCACAGCAGCGAGTCCAAAGCCATGGATAGTACACGTATAACATCGGTAAGAAGACAAATTGCTAACATGCCAATCTAGTATTCATTATAACTTAAAGCAGTATCAACCTTAAACATTCAGTTAGAAAAGTACCCTATTGGAGGAAGCATGGATTTCAATCCGTTTAGCTCTGTGCGCAAATTTGAGTGTGTTGTGTGTCTCCTCGTTGTTGCTGGTTGCTGGAGTGATTGTGCATATCAACTGCGGGAAACAAGATTGAAGACCATGAGCTTCCAGAAATTAGAAGCTGCCAGAAAAGAAACTTTGATTTTGAGGATTCATACAAGGGGAAAAAGAAACAAGCTATCATCCACTTCAACATTCTCAAGCTGACTGACTACTTCGTACAGCCAGGATACAAAGCGAGAAAGATTCCTACCGATATACGGCCATGTCCACTGAGAGACGATTGCAAAAGTCTCGTTAATTTCGAGTCTCGATAAGGCACATGTGACGCTTTTCCATCACTGAGCTTTGAAATAACCTGGCCATTGATTTACCAATTGTCAAAAGCCATCATCAGAAATTAGGTCACCTTACAATAATAAGCTTGATAGATGTACCAGATAAACTCAATGCAGACATCAAATGAAACGTTGAGCAAGATATCTCATGCAAGTCATTCCATACATAATTTGACATCCGTTCATATCCTTGAGTTCAATAAGAGACCATCTACAAATGTATCTGAAACACACAATTCGATTGGGAGCTGTTAAAATGAAAGGTCTGTCTCACAGTGCCAAGGGTTAATAAGCTCTTGTTGATATATGATCCCTCTTTCCTGCGAAGACCAGTTGTTTCTGTCTTTGAACTCTCTGAACCGGCAAGATCAATCAAATTCTGAAAATCCAACAAAGATCTAACATTAGCTAAATATTGGAAAAGCTAAGCTGCTGATCAAAGATGTACTTCGCAAGCAGAGCACAGAAGGTGGATGCCATCAACTATAACTAGAAGAATCCTTCTTACGATAATTGGGGTGCAAAGTAGCATGCTTACAAGCTGAGAAAGGGTGACGTCCTCATCCGTATACCCATCGCCTCGTGGACTGCTTTCTACAGTCTGTACAGACACCAAAGCACTACATTTAATACAGCCCCGAAGATATACGAAGTACAGAATACTGTTCCCCATTTCTAGACGGATGTTTCAAGCACACAATTCTGTTGCCCACGAAGACTAACATAGAGGAGGTTAATACGACAGTGAAGGACAAATAAGGCAACAATACGAACAAAAAGATCAAAACCACCAGTGCAACGTGAATTTCAAATGAGGCCCTCCCGCTACAGAAGAAAGAGAAGACGGGACAAAAACAAACCATTGTGAAGATTGTATGACTCCTGCTACTGAGGAGGTTAAAGTTGTTCGAGCCAACATGCCGATGTTCTGTTCATGAAACACTTTGCAAGTTCCGTGTCAGTGTTCGAAATAAAATCCTTAAGAACAGTACTAACTCCTGAATTTGTATTTTCTTACAAAAGAAAGAGAGCATACAGGAGATGAATACAGAGATTCAGGCGATACTGGTAGAAAAAGGACTAGATTGAGAGATGTTGTAAAAGTGTGATAAAGTCTTAATAGTTCATCAAAGCCATGCAAATTTAGAAAACAAAAAAGCTTGAGTTCTGTCCTGATTAGACGTACTTTTCTTCTGCCTTGTTGCCTTAGAGTGACACCATCAGCTTAATGTGAGAAACAGGAACGAAAGACCAGTTGCTTCAAGAAGAAAACAATTGTATCACCAAATCAAAGGTGACTTACCTTCTCCAGCAGCAATAAGGGATAGGGCATGAGCAGGGGACAACACCACTTCCTCTTTGATGCCCTCTACGTAAGTGCCCGACTGTCACAACACCACCATTTGAACGAAGAGATTAATAAGGTGAGATGTACGCAAAAATCCAATGAAGATAAATCAAAATGAATACTATACTAAGCTAAAAAAAATCAATACCTGGCTATCTTCTCTGACACGCAAGTTTTGACCGATGGGGTCCAGCAGATCGTTGATAACCTAGCACGCAAAAACCCAAGTATGGTTTAAGCTAAGACCAACATCTTAGTATTTTAGCATTGCGATACGTGAAAATCTTAGTCCCCGGACGTCATAAGTACATAACCATATCAGAAAAAGCCAAAAAATCTAGGTTCATCTCCAGTGTTTCCAATTGACAAACTCTAAAACCGAATTTCACTCATTGAGCGGCAATCAGCACTAGGAGTTTCCAACAGAGTTATATATCCACCTCGTTATAGATCTCGAGATAGGAAACCCGCAAAAGAAACTCTCGACTTGGAGTCTGATGCAAAAACACAAAAGTAAACTTTAGGTCCACATAGGTGCATCATTTGTGAGTATCATTAAACAATCAGCATAAACAGTACCACACTTCCGCAAGAACTCAAAGGTTCAGCTATATTTTTCCCTTCTCAGTAGGATCAGCAACTAACGTTGAGTGCACGAATGATGAGAATATAAGATAACTCCAGCGACAAACAAAATGTCTCACCTCTTGAATTATGCTGAAAACATCTTTGACGGCCAGAGGTATAATTCCTGGTGATTTTTGATCGCCCTGCATCGGGAGTTTCAAAGAAGGAAACGAAAAAATGCTGAATAAATGATTTCGCGCATGTCCAGAAATAATTAACAGATTTCTGAATTAATATAAATCCACAGTTTCAGTACTACTGCATATCAATCATGTGCAACATATGCACACTGAAAGAACTTGCTGCATATAAACTCGCGATCATTGAAATCGTGCAATAGGTTAAAAAGGAAATGAAATAAAGAAGATCAAATTATATTATTAATCTCACGCCCCCGTGACATATGCCAGATAAAAGAGATATTGAGTAAGAGAATTGGTTAGGCACAAGTGTTGAGCACCTTAAACTAAAACTTACGTGCATGGTGTGTGTCTTTCCACTGCTGGTAACACCGTACGCGAACACAGTTCCTGTACCCCAACCACGTAGACATCACAGTGTTGAAGACATAAATCTGAAAGTTCGAGCCTTGAGTGTAAGCATCTGCACTAAGCTACAAAAGCAAAAGAAAGAAGGAAGAATAGACTCCACTCATTTCCAGAATCTAAATCATCTCAAATGTGTCCTGAACCAGAGAACATACTCATCTACTTGATCTATCACATCATACATTTATCAATTTCCTAAATCCTAGAACACTGGAACAATAGACTACATGAATTCAACTGCTGAGCACTATGCAAACTTACCATTAACACCCTCCATAGCTCCGCTAACCACGTGTTGGGCAGCCGCATCATACACTCCCCTGGTGGTAGTTGCAGGACCAAATACTCTGTCTTTATTCCCAGTGCCAAACAAGAAGTGAATACACGATAATCATGCACCATTAAACTCAAACGTACATTATAGAACCACAATCATCAAGGAGCCCAAGTGTCAACGACAATCACATTCATGACAGAAATACAATATCTCAGTTAGCACCCGAGTCACTGGCAAGGCCATGAACACAAGACGAGGTCTCTTCAAGTGGTCTCGTGACCTCTGTTTCAACTTATCAATCAGCATAGAGTAAACTAGGTGCACGGCAAGTAACATCGCCCCGATTCTAGTATTAATACTCTAGGCAGAGTTCGTGATTCCAGGATAAGAGCAAAACTACTACCTCTCATAGCTAGTCATGAATAAAAATAGACACTAACAAGTCAGCAATTCAAAAACATCATGTGGTCACCGCTGCACTAGGCTATCGTAGACTAAGCAGTTGAGTGACCATACCAAAGGCGTAGACAGTTGATAAATTAAGTTCGCTTCGCACTGTATCTCCATCAGCGTACCATGCGATTTCGTCACCTCTTTGAATTTCCCTTTGGCTGCACGCAGACAAGAGTGACGTCCAAAGATCAACGCTTGGGTACTAACTTCTGCTTCTAGCGTAGGATGCATGAATGTGCCCCAGTGGCAGGACAAGTAGATGAATGCAAACAAAATATGACGGAGTGCATGTTATTTGAAGCAGCAGTGAGAATATTACGAATACAGCGCAAGGCGACAGCTACAACCTATCAAGCTACGTTCACTTTTTTACTTTCGAAGGATGAGAGAGAAAGTTGTGAGTGTCTACCACAAGCAGTTCAAGAACCTATGAAGATCACCATTTCATGGAATATGAAATAATCATGTAACGAGAACAGAGTTACAGGCACTTCAATAAAAGACTGGCAAGACTGACAGACAGTACTGTAATTGATTGAGCAGCAAATGTACATGACCGGGAAAGTTGGAAGAAAGAGTGTTGAAACAGGACACATTCAGAACATGTTAAGATCGCCTTCCATTCTGAGTTTCAAAAGATGAGGAGCACAACTATCAATCTTACACTAGCTGCTGAACAAATTATGCGAGTTGGTAAGAGGAAGGGGACTCGTGCATCGGGATTGCCTACATCAATGAATAGCAAAAGAATGAAGGCATGTGTGGTAAAGCTCAGTTGTCCCAAAAGTTATAGCTTGCTCTAATAATTATTGGTAGGGAAAAGACAGACAACATTCATGCAGATTCATGAGCTTTAATGCAGAAGACTTCAATGTATACACTTAAAGAAGCTGCAACTAACCTGGCCAAGGGAAGCTCAGTGATTATCACGTGAGCCACTGGGTAAAGAATTTCATTAGACGCACCGGACGAGAAGAAAGGGGAAAAACCATATATAAGAAAATCAAAATCCTGTAATATATTGTTGATTATTATTCGTCGATCAATGCGTATTGCGCAGCATTCGCAATCAGGGTTGAAAGCCTTGAAAAATAAGAATGAGCATACGTTCTAAGAAAACTAAGAAGTACCTGAGGGGACGAAACCGAACGGTTACGGACACATTTTCCTTTGCGCGATTTAGAAAATCCTCTCTAGCAGAAGTTGGAGTCCGAGGGCTACCAGCTGAGGCGGAAGAGGCGGAACTATGTCGGAATTTCTGCGGAGGCGTGGCACTGGGAGGTGTAGGAATATTACTGCCTCTTCCTTTGGCGGGTGTCAAAGATCTTCCTATAATTCCAATAGTCTTGTATGCAGAAGTAGGAGTTTGTGAACCCGAGGACGATGGTGATGTCTTGCTCCCATTGACAGACGGCGAGGTCTTGCTCGCACTAACAGATGGAGCTTTTCGAAACCGGAACGGTGAGCTAGTACGCGGCTTCGAGGCACTCGATGCCATGTCTTCTTCTAGAACGTTCGATGAATAATAGGGCACCAAAAGCCACCACGCCTAAGATCCAAAACTTGAACACAACGTCTCGCCCCCTTTCCAATAGTAAGATCCACACATGAAAACACTGGAAATGGTGACCAAACGCCTCCTACTACAACTACAACCATAACAACCGACGCATCACCGGAGAACCAAACTACAGCACACGACTTCGTCACGCCAAGGATTTTTCCTGCAAGCTAATAAAAAGTCCGCCAATGCAAGTCCCTCGCCCAAGTTTTCAAGGGACTCTAATTCCTCCAGAACTCCACACATCGGCACTTAAAACGCGCCTTCAACACAAGCCGCAATTGATCTCCTCGTCGATGGTTATTCAATCACGCTTCCACCCGCCACACTCTCGATCCCCTCGTCATACCCATCTTGCACCATCTTGAAACCAAAATACACGAAAATATTCGCAAAACGAACACGCGTCCGATGCGAAACAACTCGAAATCTCGATGCCATACAATACATGGAAAAATGGAAGCAAAACCTGGGGGAGTGCAGAGGCAGGCAAAGCCCAAAAACACAAAGCAATGAAGAAAGGTGGACATTAACTCCGAAGCGAGAGCCGAGAGGAAGGAACAGAAGACGACGACTGCGGCGGACCGACCTTCAGTCGGAAGAAAACTCTGGTCAAATTGTTGGGGAAACACGCAGACGGCGTCCACACTACACCCAAACGTCGGCTGAGGTCACAATTTCCCCCTGGAGGGAGGCCTTCGACGCCGTTCCCCGGCGGGCACAAGTCCCCTTCGCGTTCTTTTGTGTTGTTCCCCTGTGTTTTGTCCCTTTAGTCCGACCTCACGTTCCCGAAGGCGCCTTCTGTTCCCGCTCATGGTTCCAAATTGTTAGGCGGGATTTGAGTGGAGGTCGGGATCATGATTCGTTTCGTCTGTTCGTTTCAGGTGTTTCCATTACAACCTTTCCCAATCTCAGCACTTACGTATCAGTCGTGCATAACCCCACCTCTTTCTCCTTCCCCTCATGAATCGCCCTTTCCTCTCATTTAAATGGAGGATGACCCAGTCGCCGTGGATGAATGTTTTCATCCTTCATCCGTTTCTATCCCAACGCACTCTTCTCTATTTATGAATATATATATTTATGTATATATATATATATAGGAATGTTAAATAGACTCAAATTTTTACTAAATCAACTAATTCTAACCATCATGAAAATAAATAAATACATGACCTCTAGATTCATTTCCACTATTGGATCTGCAACCAATAAAAACTAACTACATTCATCATAATTACCATATTCTTCATCAAGAGTGGTGGGTCCATTTAGTAAAAGCATGGATCTATTTAATATTCTCATATATGTATGTAACTAATTTTATATTTTTATATATTGTGTATTCTTGTGTTAATGTGGGTGGTAGGTGTTCTTTGGAATAAGTGATTAATAAATATCCATTGACTCAACTTTAATGATTGTCTCTGAGTGTAGGGATTGGGTTTGGAAATATTGATGATGTATTTTTATCCACTGAGATAAGGTATTGGGTGTTGTCTTTAGTACATTACAATATGATGCATGAGAGATGCTGTAGAATGCAAAATGCAATGTTAAGCTTTCAAAACTTGATTTGAATGTATTGGAACTAAATTTAATCTTTCTCTACCAATAATGTGAGCAATCTTATTATGCTTACTTCGTGTGTTTGTCTTAAATTAGACTCGTCTGTTTGCTCAGAAAGAGTTTATCTCTGAAACCAGCAATAATAATTAAATGCTCTTACAGAAAGTAGGACCAAATGAATCAAATGTGTTGATATTATTTGATTTATAATGTGCACTTTCTCAAACAAACTAGTGTGGAATAATTATGAACAAAACAAATAGTTGTATGCATGCAAAGTCTAGCTTACTTCACTCACAATTACTTATTACTTTTTTAATTTTAATTTTCTTTTTTGCTGCTATAAAAGGATTTTACCATCACAAAAGAGTGTTTAACAATAGGTTGGTGTTCATGTGTGGGTGAAGCTACTTAATGCCTCTGTGGTGGCTTGCATGCAGCAATGAAGCCAATCAGGGTTTGCATACTTAAAACATGGATCAAATCATGTTACATTTTTCAACCTTGGGACCAAAACTTCAAAGTTATAAGAGAGTAGGAAAACATCCAACAATAGTTGCATGTATATTATACATACACATGGTATGTTTCTAAATATAAACAACTAAATAAGTATATATATATATATATATATATATATATATTCAAATGTTTTGGAAAATAAAATAAAATGACTTTGAAACCTTGGATTTTATAGAATATACGCAGGTCTGCAATTCAAAATAAAAACTGACAAAATTGAGCTGAATGGATAAATAAACATCCCTATTGTTGTTTTGTTTTCTAGAGCATGCAGTCTGCATCAGAAAAGTATTATTATTTTATATTTTTTTGCAATTTTGTTTTGCCTTTGGTATGCTTGTCCATACTGGTTAGTGTCTGCAGTCTGTACCTCATTCAATCCATTTAGAAAAAAAACACTGACATCAACTGAGGCACACATGGCCACCAACTGGATTTTGTCAAACTCTTCTATATTTCTTCTATCCTCGATCTTCTTCTTCAAACAATTATTCTAAAAAAAACAAAAGAAAAAAAGAGGGTGTGCTATCTTTTTCTCCTTTGCAACTTCCTTCCACAGAGGTTACTCAACAAAAAAAAGCTCACTTCAAAAAATCAATTCAAGCTTGTTTAACTTTTTACATTAAAAATAAAATAAAATGCAGTGTTGTTAATATGGGGAGCAGTAGATCAATCTGATAAATTTTACTAAAAAACACTCAACAAATAAGCATGTAAATTGTAGTCTGAACATTAAAATGTTGTTGAATTGGATTTGTTCTGTAAAATAGATCTCCATTTGTGAATGATTGTTATTTTGTTCAACTAACCATTATGACCTGATACAAAATGCACATAAAAAATGAAATGTGGTTAGTTTACTCAATACCAAGATTTGGGACACTCACTTGATTTACAATCTGTGCATGGTAACCATATCATTTTACTGCCCTTGGATTATATTGAATTGTCAACATATGTCATTATACTACAATTTTGTAATTACCAGATGTTAACAAGTCTGATTCTGTTTGTGAAAGATTCACACCGTACATTGTGTCAATGTGAAATATTTATTTGACCACGTGCAATTGTTTGATCCTGATTGTAAAAACCCATCATGCAGATTGTGTCAAAACATTATCATCTAGATAAAACTCATTGTTTTTTCAAGGTCACCTCACACAAGAGCTTGAAGGAAAGCAGCCCTTAAACCCAAGGTTAACACATTTTCTGTAGGAAATTCTAAAAAGGTACCTTTGACTTGGCATTATGTGAAGAGAATGGGTTGGAATAAAGCTTCCAGAACATACTCACAATCTAACTTAGTCTTATTGTAATGGATTGGGCCCTCAACGGTGTCCTTTTTTTGACACTATATAGTTCCCTAAATTCAAGGATGTAATAGTGAAAATGTGTGGTTTCCATGGTGAATTCTCCCCAAATGAAGATTCCAAAGATTCCTTAAAGAATTTGCTTCCTCCCCCATAGCAAGAAAGTATACTCTCTAATTACTTCACACATGTCATGTTCACTTTTTTTTTACACACTTTGTTTTAACACATTCTAGGAATATTTTACCATGGGTCATTCCCCTCTTTAGACAACTTCCACAAATGAGAGTTCATTTTTAAATAAATAAATGATAGAGCACCTTTTCAACCTCAAAACCCTGCACAATGTTGCCTTTTTGCATCCCAAAAATGCAATAAAAACTCAAACCTTTAAAACACACTTTTGAAATTTAAAGTTTGACATTTGACTCGTATGGATGCAAGGGTCTTTAGACACAAATTCTCCTTCCCCAAGCAAAGGACTGAGATCATGTTCTTCATTTTGCTTTGGACTTCTAAGTATAAAAGTAGTAACTCTTGATATGATCTAAGTGATACACAAAACATGGTATAAATATCCATGTTCTTACCGATGCCAACGAGAACAAAGTTTCTCCATGGGTGTTGTATTTTAAGCTTGGAATAACAACTTTAGTAAGATAGCAAAGCACAAACTGCAGGATTCTGGTTATTTCTCTGAAATCTGAGCCTAAATCGAGCCCCTTGAGAAGATCAAAGGGAGCTTGGGGATAACGAGACCGATGGCCGCGGTGTGCGATACCCGGGCCCACGTACCCGGAACAGGGAAATGCACTGCTGGACGGGTCCGAATGTGCAGGCCAACGCGGCACGGATAACGGCACCTGAGCTCTGGAGGTGCGATGAGCGTGTGGGGCCCCATGCCCACGACGGAGAAGGCAGGAGCCTCCTCCTCCGCTTCGGAGTAACCTCGTGCTGCATCTGTGCTGCGCCTCGTTTCCGCCGCCTCCGATTGAACCCCCCCCCCCCCCCCCGCCCGCCCGCAAATGTCCCTCGTAGCGTGATCGAGAATTGATTTCGCAGGCCCGTGGCGTGCTGCTGTCGCTGCTGGAGGTTGTTTTTTTCCGAGCAGGGTAGAGTGCGAGTCGGGAGTGTGAAGACGAACTGTTTTCTTTGTAGACAGAATGGGTTCCGATGCTCCCGACTCGATTGCTCCTCGCGGTGAGTGTTTGTTTCACTCGCAGTGTGGATTTGTGCTGACGGGGGAGAGTGCATCTGGTGTCCAAGGCGAGGTTCTGTGGGCTTGGAAGGACATGGGAATAATACGATGGTTGATCTGTTTACATATTTGATCACAAGGGACAGAGTGGTGATGGGTTTCGGATCCTGGCCGTCATGTTTGGGACTTTGTTTCAAATGAATGCGCGATGGTTCAATTTTTGTGCTTAGAGCGCGTGATCGACGTGCTCTATGGATTAATGCGTGTATTCCAATGATGCTTCTGGATTGACAGATGTGTGCATTGTTGGCGTGGCACGGACGCCAATGGGTGGGTTGAGTGGCTCTCTGTCTAGCCTGTCGGCAACCAAGCTGGGGTCCACTGCGATTCAAGGTGAGGTTTATGTTAAGTGCATGTTTGTAGAGAGCATCCGTACATTGGCCCCTGAAGTATGTGACGTAGCATCAGGTTTCTGAAGGTTTTTTTTGTTTTGGATCTGTGACTCTTATTTTTTTCCTGCGATGCTCAATTTGATGCATGGAATGCAGCGGCGGTGAAGAGATCTGGTGTGGACCCTTCCCTTGTTGAAGAGGTGTTCTTTGGCAATGTCTTGAGTGCAAACCTTGGACAAGCTCCGGCACGGCAGGCCTCCATTGGGGCAGGGCTTCCCAACACTGCACCTTGCACGACTGTCAACAAAGTCTGTGCTTCGGGCATGAAAGGTAGGTATTCGTAGCGTTTGTGTGCTCCGTGTTCGGCAGATAGTGATCTTTTACTGGAGTAATCTCTACCAATGTGATAGGTCTATGCACGTTAATTGATTCTTTCATAATTTCAGTTCAAACACTGCCGCGTTTATAAGCCAAGGAAAATCATGTTGTTAAACCCCTTTGATGCCCTTTTTGAATTTTCTTTTCAGCTGAATATTGGAATGCAGGTGTCAGTGCTTCGAAACTCTCCTAAAGTTGGGGTATTTCGCTAGGGATCGTCCATCTAAATTCTCAGTTGAAGTAATAAATCAGGAGTAATAACCTGACAATGTTTGTTTTGTTTAAACAGCTGTTATGCTAGCTGCTCAAAGCATTCAGCTAGGTCAGAATGACGTGGTGGTCGCTGGTGGAATGGAGAGTATGTCGAATGCTCCTTACTATCTTCCCAAAGCAAGGTCAGTTCTAGAGCCTAAGATTATCGTGAACATTCTTTATGCTTACTGTAATTGATTTAGCCCGAGACTGCGATCCATTCTCAAACTTACTTTCAGTTCGTCCTCGTCAGGGATGCTCAAAGATAGGCATTGCTAACTAATTTCCTTATCAAAGATAACATCATCTGCACATATTTCTTTTTTATGACTCGGAGGAACACATGGTTCTGTGATTCTTGATAGATTTGCATCACCAAGAATATATGGAACTCCTTTATTGCAACCGAAGGATGGATTTCGTGCGAGGTTCTTGATCTTGTATATCTTGACGTTGTTAACCTATTCTGAACTCGAGTATGCAGAGGTGGCTTACGCTTTGGTCACGGAGAGGTTGTGGATGGTATGTTAAAGGACGGCCTCTGGGATGTTTACAACGATTATGCCATGGGCATGGCTGCTGAGCTTTGCGCAGACAATCATAGTGTTTCCCGAGAAGCCCAAGTATAATTGACTCACCGACATATCCTGTTTGTACTTATGTTCGAACGCCTTAGGTCTTGAAGTTGAACGATGATCTTATTGACGGCAATGTCATGTAGTCATTAAGTAAGATTGTTATTGAACTTCTTTTAATTTTGTGGACTTTCTTCAGGATGATTACGCTATACAGAGCTATGAGAAGGCTATTGCGGCAAACAACAGTGGTCTCTTCAAGTGGGAGATTGTGCCGGTAAGATACCTGAATCATTGCCTCGGATTTGCGTGATTATGTTATTTCTACATGATGTAAAAGGATTGAAAAAAAGCTTTGGAACAATTTCCTGTTACTGAATTTTTTTGCTTTTAAAATGTTGATAGCAGCTCCACCAACCATTTGAAGACCTCACCCTATGTCTTATATTGGGGTTTCATGTGTCGCACAGAATGTTGCAAGCATGTTATCTCTTTTGGTGGTTCTTTGATTCGTGGCCTAACGTCTTACGCATATTTTTAGGTTGAAATTCCTGGAGGAAGAGGCAAACCATCCATTTTTGTTGATAAAGATGATGGAATCGATAAGGTTCGTTATTTTCTCTGATTTTCTTAAATCCGAGGTCATGTTTTTGCTTACACATGTTTTGACGTACAATATTTCTCTACAGTACTAAAGTAAACACACTTGTATTGCAGTTGGATGCGGGGAAATTGAGAAAACTTCGACCAGCATTTAAATCAGATGGTGGTTCTGTTACAGCTGGCAATGCTTCAAGTATCAGGTGTGCTTTTCTTAAATTTTACTATGATTATGAGTTTCTTATTTGTAACTTTTTTAGAATAAGTCACAATTTCTTTACTACAAAGCTTATATTTCTTTCTACAAAATTGTTAAACCATTGTCCTTACGCTGATAAATATTAAACCATCATTACGTAGATAGTATCAATGTTTGAAAACAGTTTTCATTTATTGCCTGGACATCCTGAAGCTCAGCATATATCTGGGTTGTGGTGACTTCTCTTGCTTCAAATGTGCAGTGATGGAGCTGCTGCTCTTGTCCTAGTTAGTGGTGCGAAAGCGAAGGAGTTGGGTCTTCAAGTTATCGCAAAGATTCGTGGATATGCTGATGCTGCACAGGTTGTCTTCTGATTCTGTGAAGAAAGTTTTCCATTTTTTATTAAGCCACTCAGCATTTGTTTCAAAATTTTCAATGACGTTTAGTTGATATCAGTCAAATCGTGTAAAACATATTGGGGTTTTGTTTCTCATGATCATATCGTAATCTAAAAATCGAATTTGTTGGTAGGCCCCTGAACTCTTTACGACTTCGCCAGCAATTGCCATTCCTAAAGCAATCTCTCGGGCTGGGATTGATCAATCACAAGTGGATTTCTATGAAATCAATGAAGCCTTTGCTGTAAGTTCTGCGATTATCACTGCAGGTCTCCTTAGTGCTGTTCTCGGCTACAAACATGATCATTATGTGGAAATGCGTCATTAATTTATTTTTTATTTTATTTTATTTATTTATTTTTTTAATTGAATCCCTTGTCCTATTTTGCAGGTGGTCTCAGTGGCAAATCAGCAAATATTGAAACTGAAACCGGTATGCTTTACACCAATAGTGTGTGTGCGAGTCGCACTTGTTATTGTCTGTATCTACCAGCCACACTGTAACAAGCTCTATCAGATGCTCATGGACGTGATTATCGTTGGCTTTGTAACATATTGAAAAAATTCAACAATCTCATCATCTTAAGTTTATGTGGAGGGTATGTTTGTAAGTTTTTCCCAATTTCGGTAGTAATCTCAACAAATTTATAATTAACCCACTGATTATTGTGTGCAAACAGGAATCTGTGAATGCCCACGGTGGTGCAGTTTCTCTTGGACATCCCCTTGGTTGCAGTGGAGCTCGTATTCTCGTCACACTGCTCGGGGTTCTGAAGGAGAAAAATGGTCACTTTGGGGTCGCTGGTGTGTGTAATGGAGGTGGAGGTGCATCTGCTGTTGTGGTGGAGCTCATGTAAGGTTTGCATGGTCTAACCATTTCCCAGATTAGCCATTCCCTTCCACTGTTGTGGTAACTGCAAAGGTGTTGATACGTAATTTCTTACAATGTTCTCTTCATATAAAATAGGTCATTCAGATTCTGAACTACTTGTCCTAAGCGTTTCGGCAGCAGTCTCTGTTAGATGGATACAGCCTACTGTCACGCATATTGGAGAACCGTACATTACTGCATATTGGACACCTAGAAGCTATAATGCGTGCTGACTCTTAGTTATCTTTATCTGCAGGGATGCTTCAAAGACCCCAGTCCGACAGGCTCATCTGTGAAGTCAATTGTTGATATAATCTGCATTTCAACCACATATCTGTGTAGTGATAGAACACAGGGGCCTTAGGAGAAGTACCACTTGCAGATAGACGTCACTGTTATTGCTCCCTTCACTGTTTAGAAACTAGCAGACGGACATTGTGAAGTTCTATCTTTAGTTGCAGTCATTTTTGTGTGATGGGTTGAACGTTAAATATATGATTTGAACAGAAGCAGTTCTTCTTTCAGCACCACCCAATTGATTTCACCGTTACTCGGACTTTTGCATCTTTCTCCTCTGCCATAATTTCCTGTATGAAATGTTCAATTCTCTTGAGAAAAAGTCGATCATTCTGTGAACTTGCTGCAAGGATTAATTTCTCAAATTCCTCAAACTATCCAACAACCATTAGTTCTTCCCTTAATAAACATGATAAATACAGACAGCAATGGATCATCTGCTCTTCCGTGGACGATTTTTACCAAGCAGAACTAAACTCAGAGTGCAAACTACCGGTACACTGAAGCACTTCGCAGTGCAGTTATTCAAAGACGATAGAATAAGCGGAGACGTGGTGATGTTTGGACTCCACTAGCGTACCTCAAACTTGCTATCGTGGTTCGTGATGTGCACGGAATTGTCGGAACCAAGCTGGCGGTGACGGACTCCACTTGTACAGTCAGAGTGGGCTCTGCTTGGATTTCAGGCACTCGAGAAGTCTTTCAAAACAACGCCTGCTATTGAAGCCGTTTTGCATCCACTTGACACCCCTAAATATAACAATATTATTGTATGTTTTGCGGAGAAATCTGCCACCGTGGCGCCAGGTGCCTCCTGACATGAAGACGAATTGATACCTGCGAGTGGGACCCAGCACCTCCATTCATGCGAATTAGTTTGCTCGTCTCTTGCACCTCCTGTTGTATTCTTCGATGTTGTGTACTGTTCCGTGCTCTTGCCGATTGCGATCTGAATGGTTGAAGATGTAGCAGTACGTTTTCACAGACAAGAACAAGTACTTAGGGTTTGGAGCTACAGCCGGGTCGTTATTTTGAGCCTGCTGGGATCTAATTTGGCGTGACATTGCGGTAGATCTTGTGAAATTTGGACTTGATTTCGAAGGGAGTTAGAGAGTGGTTTGAGGGGAGCTTCGGTTGAATTGGTGAGTTTGTGACGGTGTGCGACTCGATTCAAGAGTCGATTCTGGTCTTTTTAGTATTTCTGAGATTTTTTTTTTTTTTTTTTTTTTTTTTTTTTTCGTGTGGAGAGAAGTTGTGGAGTGACCATTGGTGGTATTTTTGGTAGGAATCAATTTTTTAAGGTCCTGAGAAATTCATTAGGATATGGTAGAGTAGAGGAGGTTGAATTTTTTCTTGGTGGGTTTCAGCATTTTTGTTGCCGTCAGTTTAGTGGTAAAGCCTTATTTGGTTCAGAGGGCGATACGTGTGGGATACGTGCAGGATCCATATGTGACTCAAGAAGGTCCAAGACGAAGCAGGTCTTGAAGCAAAAGTAAACAGTGGAAAAAAAAAGTGGAAACGGATAGGACTGTTCCAGGTTGATCGCAATGGATTTCTTCTTCCAGAAAGCGAAGTATTTCGCACAAGAAACAGCAAAGAAGTCTCAGGAGATTGCAATGGAAGCAGCGAAGCTGTCGCAGGATTTGGCGCAAGAAACGGCCAAGAGATCACGCGAATTGTCCCATGATTTTGTGGTGGAGGCATCAAAGACAGCCGAGCAGATCAAGACGCTGGCGAACGAAATTTCTCCAGCCATCGTAGGGCGTGCCATTCCTAATGGTGTCCCTACGCCGACTCTTGCCCCGTCGGAGGAGGAGCTTGAAGAATATGGCATTACTCCTGAGCTCCGAGAGTTTGTGAAGGGCCTCACCATACGAACATTCCGTGCCTTTCCCCTCGAAGAATCCAATTGTGAGCTCTTCAATTGGTGATGTCGAGTGTAATGGATTCTTTCTGCACGTTTACTGGGACTCGCGTTTCATCGCTAAGTAACCTGCTTATTATCTTGGGCAATATAGAAATTAGCCACATGATATACTTCATATTTAATTTCTATTTCCTTTGAATGCGTTAGTTGGCCCTTAGAGTTCCCGTGAGTGTAGCGCATAGAAGTTATGTTGACAAGTCTCTATGATGAGTAGCAACTATACTTTCGGATTTAGATTGGCCAATCTTGCTACTACCATGACCCATCTGCGTTCACGACGATTTTTACCTCTGAATCTCAGTAACGATGGCTTGAAAATGTAACAAGGGAAGTCTTTTGTTGCTTAAAGGAAACTTGTACAGTGATAATCGATGTTCTTTTGCTGGTGATGCGTTCTCATACGGCAGTGATTGTGATAATTGGCCAGGGAAAATGACAGCTTCTGAAAGCACTTCACAAGCACGGCAAGATCTATCTGAGTGGCAAGAACGGCATGCTGTACTCGTTCTCTTGACTGTTCCGGTAATTCATATAACCCTTTTTGCTCCTTAATCACCTCAAAGTAGTCGAAATCTTTTGTGTTTAGTGTCTTGAGTGCGAGAGGACAAGAAGTGGATCACATTATGAAAGGATTTGTTTGATTTTTGTCATCATTCTTGGACATTTGAAATTGGAACTGTAAAAATAAGTATTGTTTTCTTTTGTGATTATAAATGATAGGTTTGGGATTATGGTGTGAATACTTTATGATTTGCATGAAGTCATATCACTTCTTGATAAATTTTTTTAAGCCCATTACATATCTTATCCTGGAACCCCAAGATATGGAGAATTGATGTTTACGGAGATGTTTGATTAGCAATAGATGTTAACCGGGTTTTCAATCAGCGAATGAATGAGCTAATTCAGATATTAGGTGGACAGTATCAGCATTTACCTCAAATACTTGGGTTATTTGTTATTCGTATGTCTAACTCTATACTTTTTGGGTTCACGTGCAGGAAATTTCCGATTTCCGCTACGTTCTGTGTCCTCGGCGAATGAAGGAGAGCAAATTTTGGAAGATTTACTTCATCTTGGTTCAAAATCATATTGCATCGTGTGTATTTCATAATCACTGATTGATAAATTCTATCCACCACTGTAATATCTTTAGCATAATCTAGAGTATTTTCCTAAGTCTACAATAATGTTCTGAAGTTCTCCGAAACATATGAGCTTTCATGCACTAACCGGGTAACTAGTTGGGAAGAGAAACACATCAGCTTTTAACTGCAAAGTGGATCCATATAAATTTAGAAGCTTTCAATCACTACCGGTAACAAAAACAAAACGTGTTTCTTGTGCATGTAGATTTGAAGCCAGGGCAACAGATCGAGCAGCAGCCAAGGCAAGAGCAAAAGCAGAGGAGGATGCAATTAAGCAAACTGCTATATCTGAAGAGCTGTCTAAGTCTTTGTCAGGTGTTTCTGTCCGGGTGAATCCGCCAGGCTCTGAGGCTGAAACAGCTGCTGCAGCGAAGTCTCTGAAGTCTGCGGATGATGATGCGGATCTTGATGCGTATCTAATGGGCGCCCTGGGTAGTGACGACGAGGCAGGGGGTATTCCCAAGTCCTAATATATCAGTAGTTTTTCCTAGTGATGTTTTTTTTTTAATAACCCTTGGTCTAGAATATATGCGGCCTTGTTCAAGTTCTCGATGAACTTTGAATGCGGCCTGCAATCATGTTTGGCGTTGATTTACCTAATAGGTAGCTGTGCTGTTTTGTCATAAATGAATGTCCTTGTTGGTGTTCTGTTTTCCGCAGAGGGTTTAGATGATGATTTTGACAAGGACTTTGACAAACTCGTAAACGGCAATGTAAGCATTTCTGTCCTGAAATCTTAGTGCTGTGCAATATTTGCCTTAAAGGCAGCGGCTACAGTGGTGGTTGCTTTGAATTCGTTTGTAGTTGATGCAGATGTAACTCTGGAAAACCAATTTCTTAGAATACAATTTGTATAATATTGCTGCTGATTCTTCGACGTTCTCTCACAGGCTTTGGACAGTGATGGAGATAAAGCTGCTCGTGAAGGCACAGGAGCTAGCAAGCCAAAAGATAGAAACAGTGCATCTAGTAGAGAGAGCACGTCAGGTTCAAATAAACCATCCGTAAGTGAAGGTTCTTCTGATGGTGAATTAGTGGAGATTCCAGATAAAGAGTCTGACACTGCGCACAAGAAAAATATTAGAGCTTCAGAGTGACGAAACTAAGAGATATTGATATATGCCAAAACATCTGCCAGGTTAGTTTATAAAATATGTCAGATCTAAGATTCTTCTAATGTCCACGATATGAATCTATTGGTTCAGCCTAGCTTAAAGATTATTAGCATCCGTCCTTGATACGGCAGATTTAGGTGATTATCTTCGATCGTCTTCTTGAGTTGAACAAGTTTGTAGCTACTGTTTTTATGTCATAAGTACTAGTCCATACAAGAAGACACTACTAGAGTGTCGTTACTGAGGATGAACTTACAAGCAACTTGTAATATCTTTATCGTACTTTTGTGAGTACTGTTGCTGCCTTTCATTGTTTGTTAATGTAGTCCACAAGTTTCTTCTTAACAAATCTTGATTCACTCTGAAATTAGCAAATATTAATGAGAATGTTGTAATCCGCCATGGACATCTCATTTTGACTTCTCAGGTTTCATTATGTTGATAAGCATGTACCTTTTTGTGGCTATTCATGCTGGTAATGATACAACCTTAATACAAATTTGCAGTTCATGTAATCAGACTTAACTGCTCTTCAAATGTTCGTCATAGTCTCGTTCTTGTCAAGTTGCAAATTTTTCTCCTGACGAAGGCGTTCTAATCAGAATATGTTAATTTCATTGTCATTTAACATATTCTGAAACAGCTTTGACATGTCTTGTTTTCTCAGCAAACTTACGAAATAGATTTTCTGATTAACAACAATTTCACTGTTTCACACAACTCTCGAGAAAAAGTGTGCACAAATAATTCAAGGGTTGAAACCCTTTTAGAATTGTTCACAATGTCCAGGAGATTCGAATTTTGCTTTGAGGTAGGACCTTGTTTTTGGACCCTTCTTACAAACCCAAATAAACTGAAACTTTTACCAGTAGTGCAATGGTTTCAAGTTTGTAACCGCAACAAACTTCTGCTGTTTGGCAGTGTTGAACTTTGTTCAATAGGTTTATTAAAGTGACAGCGCAAACTTCATCATTTTCCATGCTAGAGTTTTACAAGCATGTGAAGAAATACACTGTTTTAAACAAGAACAGTTCATTACTTTGCATCTTACACAACATCGTTTTTGTAGAAACCTGTTATCTAGTCTTCGTTCCTGTCATGGTTGGACAAAAGTAGAATGCTTTCAAATTTATGAAGGTATTAATAAAAACCAGGTAAAATATGAAATGGCAGTTAATGATCTCAGTTAGAGAATGGAAGAGATTTAGCTTGTGGCATCCATTGTGAGAGTAGAATGGCCAAGTGTGTTTCTGTCACATCAACAACAGAAATTATTTTGAGATTGTACAGATTTGATACATTTATTTTACTTATTTGATGACAAATCGGATGCAAGAACATCCTTGAATTCAACACAATCTTTAAACATTGTTCAATACTTAGAAAACTATAATTGCTACAAGTAATAGTTCTGTTTGATGGTAAAAAAACGCAAATAGAAAAAAGTACATAAAATGGCAACAAACCAGCGATTCTACAATGTTGATACTTGTCACGCTAGCCTTATCCTTGAAAAACATGTTTGTGAAAAGGTGAATATTTACTGGAATCAAAGTAACACAGTAAAGACATCTTAGTTAATATACTCTACATATTCATATTAAACAAAACAAGCAAAAAACAACTATGAATTTCTTTACAGGACCAACTTTCAACATGAAAATGTTCCATGTTGGTTCTGGTTTTAATTATCCAAGTTATAGGAATGCAATCCTTCCATTTGGCTCAAAACTCAAAAAAAAGGAGCAAACACATTTGGCCAGCTGTGTTAAGGTACAACATATTTCGAACAAGACCCACCAAGGAATTACAAAAAACTCCCCACCAAAATAAGAATCTCTTCAAAAAAAAACCCCGACTGTTTGTGGATGTCTCTCCCCAAAATACAACAGATATGAAAGTCCACTGGAATTCTAGACTTTTGGGGAAGAAGTCTTGATTCTCAGTCACATGTTACGGTAGATCAATTTGTAGCATTCCATTTGACAACATGAATTGATGTGGACTTTGTTACGCTCATCAACAACAGAAGAAGTCTATTCCATTTGGTTTTGTCCTTTAGCAAAAACACATGTCAAGTTTGTAATAGGTGATTCTTTAGATGATTCTTTAGATGATCAATAAGGTGACATCTGGGCAAAATTCTTTCTTAAGTGCATAATGTGAATCTTTCATCTCATAGCACAAGGTACAGATTGTAGTACTTGGGATTCAAGAGATATGCCTTCTCCAAGAAGAGGAATGTGTACCTCCAACGACTTAACGAGCCTTTTCAGTCTGAAGGTTAAACCTCAACTCCCCGTTTCTGGCATGTTTCAAGTCGGATTATGTACATATCATTAGTTATTATTATTATTATTATTATTGTAATTGTCCACTTTCTAGTTCTTTTTTAAACAAAATATCTTCACTTGGGTTCATCATCAGTGGGCCCGTGGGCTAACAAGCCAAAGAGTATTGAATTAGATAAAGTCCACAAGAAACATCCATCCACAAAAACATCCTTCCTTACATGAGTATGTAAAGCTTTAAGAAGTATAGAGTCCTATCCTTTTGGTTTTGAAGCGAAGGCTCAGAAACAAACTGAGCTCGACAACAACTGAAGCAGCAGCAGCAGCAAACATTGTGAGATGCAACCCAATCTACCGCATGACAAGCACCACTCTTAGTAGCGGCACTCTCATTCAAGAGTGTGTGTGTTTCAGTTATGCAACGCTGGCAATCTGTAACATCCGGGGGTGTGAATGATCCTCGCAAGGAAGGCATCAAGAAAATCGACTAAGTACTTGCGTAAAGAGCCACCACCAAATCTGCCCCATCAAGTGTGAACTTGAGAGGGAGAGAATGAGAGACGCAGCGCGATTGAGAAGCGATGCATGATGGAGGATTAATGAGTGAGGGGATTGATTGGAATGGCGCTGAGGAGACAGCAGACAAATGCTGGTTGCAAGTGCGAAGACCTCGTGGGTGGCCAGCATCACAACTTTTGTGTGCAGATTTGCTGACGGAAACCCCGACTTCAATCTCAACAAACTGTCCAGGATCTTGCTTTGTTCCACGTAAGGGGTGGGTTGCGCATTATGGCACTTGACCCCTCGTTTTCTCGAGCTCGGATTCCCCGACTCCGTGGGCTTTTTCCTCGTGCAGACTTGGCATCACAAGGAATGTTTGCAGACAGCCAGTAAGCGGGTCAATGACGATATCAGAAGCTTGCTGCACACGTAGACTCTGGGACTTGTAGCTGAAATCCTAAAATAGGAGAACTGATTGGGTGGTTAGCAAGGAGGTGTAGGATTTCTCAGTAGTCCTATCGACAGCAATTTGTTGACGCCGCAATTTCATGTTTTTCTAAATTTAGTGGATCAACACTGGTGGGTGGGTGAGTGCTATTGCCGACGATATGCAGCCTGATAGAGTGCACGACACTGTCACCACTTCTCTCTGACTCTTTTGCTTTTGTTAATGTAGTGATTCTGTGCAAGATTCATGCGACTTTGCACTTCAAAGTTTGCACAAGATGGGTTGCAACCATGCGGGTGATTGCATATTCAAGGGAATTTGGTTTTTTATTCGAAAAGAATGGAAAGGATAGCAGTAAGCTTATCAACACATGTATCAGCAACTGCTTGCAAGCTTGAGTTGGTATGTACAAGGAAAAAATAAATTACTAGCAGATGATTTTCTCATGCAGCTCCAGTGATATTTTTTGCCTCCGAACGAGGCCTCAGCAATGCTACAATTATACAACAATCCAGCCGGTCGACTAACTCTGTCAAAACGAAGTAGCCCTTCTCCCTACCTTCCTAACGATCTAGACCGATAATCAAATCCGAGTGCCCTGTCTCCAGAAGCACTCACAAAATTGCCGCGCAGGCTCCGTCTTGGTGCTTCTTCAATCTATACAGCCTATGTTCAGATATTTGTGTAAGTATGAACTTCGTGTAAGCCAAATTGAAACACACAGGTGGACACAGCTTCTCTGCGACAGTGAAGATCATGAACCTCCACTGCGGAAGGTGTCCATGACCAACACGCCAAAATCCTGGCCAACATTTCCGAATGGAGCGTTGAGGAATTTTGGTCCAGAGGTAGTGACTCCATGCGCAAGCTGCAGCATTGCAAACTCTTAACGGTTTTTGAAACCCTTTTCGACCTCTTGTGCGCTTTGGGGGTGCGTGGCGATGGCGAGGGCACACGTGATGTACAGCTGCGGGAAGAATAACGATGCAAACAGGAAACATAGTCAAGTTTTTCCGTTCACGATCTCTCCAGGAAGAACCGTTCGTGCCGCTCCCCTCCCATGGCCGGGTGAAATTTGTAAGCGTTCGAGAGATACTCCCCCCACGTGAAAGGTCGATACACCTGCGGCCGTTCGGCGGTGATGAGCTCCGGAGGAGCCTCCACAGTTGCGCTCAAGGGTGGATTCAGAAAGCATGCCAGGGAGAGACGCTTTGACGTGCCGTTCACCGCTGCTCTGTGAAGCACGCTTTTGTACCGAGTGTTGCTCAAGACCTGCAATCCCAAGAAGACGCACAACTCGATGTCAGTTACCGCCATTTCCCGAAAGATCGTTTTTCGACCGACATTTTCAAGGTGTTCAAGTGAGGGTTTGCATGAGGGAGAGAGTGGGTACCTGAAAGAGATCGCCGACATTGACGACGAAGCAGTCGGGACGGGGCTTGACGGTGATCCACTTTTCGTCGATGTGCACTTGAAGCCCCGCAACCTCGTCTTGGTGGAGGATGGTGAGCAGATGTGGGTCGGTGTGAGCTCGCAAACCGATTGCGAGTTCAGGCTGAGGACAAGGAGGGTAGAGGTTGAATCGCATTGACATCATGCGCTCATTCTCCACGTAATGGTTGAACGTGGTGGGCTCCAGTCCCAACCCTTCAGTGAGAAGCTCCAGGAGCTGCCTCGCGAGCTTCTCAATTTGGCCCATGTACTCCTCCACCGTCGAACTGCACACGACCGCCCAATCCCGTCAGCCAACCAAACAACTTGACAGGATCCTTTCTGTTGGGATCGACAGGATAGAGGGCGTAGAGGATGTTAGAGTTGGCGACAAACCTGAATTTGGTGGGGTCGCTCTCCGCGAAGAGCTTCCCGGAGAATTCCCGAATATTGGATTTCGGGTGAAGCTGCATGTGGAAGCTCTCAGCCCAGTGCATGACCGTTTGGTTAACCCAAGTGTTTGCGCCGTAGCCAAAAGAAGTGCCTGGCGGGCGGTGAACTCGCTCCTTGACGTCGAGTGGAAGCTCAAACATCGTGTGCGCCTCCGTCTCACACCTGCGAATCAGGCTCTCGTCCACGCCATGATTCACAACCTGAAAAAAGCCAAATTTCTCGCAAGCCGCCGCAATGTCCGCCACGGACGAGGCTCGCACCGCAGGGTCCGAGGACTTCAAGAGAGACATGTCCACGATGGGAATTAAATGGCTGAACGCCAGGGGATCCCCGTCCATCTCCAGAACGGGCCGCTGGTCCTCGGCTTCGACGAACATGGCAGGCAGCTGTTGTACGAGCGCCAGCGCAGACAAGAGACTCGCGTTTCGCAGCGTGGTGTTGGTGTTCGTCAGTACTGCGGCCAGATCTGCTGCATTGTGTGAGTGGGACGATATGGGATGCGCGGCCATCTGTGCCACTCTCCAACTGTCGATCTCTCAATCTAATGTACCCTTTCCTCTGGTTCTACAACCACAGAGACTCTCTGCAAGAATTCCCTCCTCCACTTCCCTGATCTGCTTGCACCCTCAACAACACGAATTACTTCGCAGAACCGGAGGCTTCAACATTCAAGAGGAGATTGGATCGATTATAAGTGTGGCAAAGCAGAATAATTCCTGGGCTACCAACGCGCTGTTTCGCAGACACGCTTCCACGCCACGTACGAATATCCGCCAATCAAACGAATTAAATGAATTCGCTGTGCTCAACTATTAACGTCGCCAGCCTTCTGTGGATATCATACCCCCCCTTCCACTCGTCCTTCCCTCAACAACATCCAAAACAAGCGTAAGCCTTGGGGAATGAGATCGAAACTGGCAGTCGTCAAGGTTACGACCCACGGCTCCGGCTCGAAGCAAGGGCCGGGGTGGCGACAAGCACTGATATTCCCGCTGGGTCAAGCCAACCAAGACTCATTCCCTCGAACACCCCAACCAGACCCTCAAACAGTGGGCTATGTTGCTGATAGTGCGCTCTGTCGCTCCTAGCTATTCACTTCACCGCGGGTGGCTCACTCAGTTCGCGCAACGATGAGCTCGACGAACAGACATGCGCGCGCGGGGGGGAGGGGGGGTTCCTACACACGCTCACACACTGACGGAATGACTGGCTGAGTAACTGGACTTCTACGACTACGACGACTACTACAGTGCGCAGACTCAGACGATTCTGCGGTATCCCAATCCCTGGAAATGAGCTCACAGGCACTCCATGCGACGTCCGCTGCCGGGATCTAAGATAGAAAAGAGGAGACTCGGGGACAAAGGGACAAGAGGTTCATGAGCTGGTGGTCCGTCTGCGAGTACCGGTGCCGGTGCTGCGTGGCTGCTGTTACTGCTGCTGTGTGTGTGTGTGTATCACTCACTGCTGGTTCTACAAGCAAGCAAGCAATGGAGCAAGCAAGCAACCAAGCAAAGCCCAGGAAGAGACACAGGTCGCCAAGTGCGGGTGGCTTTATATAGCTCTCATGTCCCCAGGCGCGTTCGCTGTGCTGCGCGGGCTGCTGCGATGCGAATAGTGGTATGTGTGTGTGTGCTGCAGCTGCTTGACCTTGCGCACCTTGTAGCCTACGCTCCTCCCCCGACGCCCGGTTCACACCGCCCGACAAGAGACGCGACGCGACGCTCGTGAAAAGATAAAAGAAATTATCCTGCTAAAGAAAAACACCAAATACTGCGGCTACCCCCCGAAAAAGTAAAACGTTGCCCTCTTCTCTCTCGTGCATGTGTTCGGGGCGAGGGCGGCCCCACTCTGGGGACGACGGGAAACGAAAAAGCTTCAAGGTACTTTTTTATTTTTTTTATTTTGCAAAATTGAAAAAAGTTGCTCACATTCTCCATCCAGGGGTGAATATCTTTAATTATATTTCTAATTTTTTAATTTTCTGAATTAGAAATGCAAGGATTCTGTATCATTGTGTATATATATGAAAATTTTGAATTTTACAATTCAACATGGAAAGAAGTATAATAAATAAACACATTGTTTGGACAAAATATGTTGTCTACGTTGATTTTCTTTATCATTAACTAAAATGCTCGAAGTTGACTCAAGTAATTTGAATTATATGATTCTTGCAGAGTTTTGTCCAATAATAATTGTGTGGTGCATGAGACTATAGATGGACAAATTATTTTATTGCTTAAATTTTAAAAAAAACTGCATGAAATAATTTGTATATATTTTTTATTTATTTTTAATTCCATATCTTGTTCAACAGACATTGTTTTATGTTTCACAGTAAAAAAAAAAAAAAAAAAAAAAAAAAAAATCTACAATCTTAAAACCATTGATTACAGGTGCTAAAAACATAAGCAATAAAATATATTGGTCTGTATGTATGCACATTTTTAAAGTTATTGGTTTCATTTTGGGTCACAAAATTCATGTTGCTCCAAACACAATAACAACAACAATAATAATAGTAAATCTGAAGAACCTCAACTACTTTAAAAATACATACATAATTTTGTTTAACACTGATTGTAATAAATTAGTTATTAGGAAGTTTAAAGATGTGGATAATTAGAGTATTGAAAATACCTATTTAAAAAATGTTGCATTGAAACCTTAAGTTTATCAAATAATTTTAGAAACATGTTTACATGCATGTAATGCTATTATTAGACATAACCTAAGTACCTACAAAAACACTTGCCATTTTTCATCAATCAATATCTATTCCTTGGCAACTTATCATTGCTATAAGTTGTCAATCAATATATACCATGGATTACAATGTTATCGTGTGCAATAACAAGGCGTATATAAATATGTCAAGTAATTTCCAATAAATTAATTAAGTTGTAGCATATATAAAATCAATTGAGGTGTTTCTTCTGTAGAAAATAAAAACTCTTTCTCACTAAGCGAAGTTATAGACATTGTGTTTTTTTCTCTTTATTATAGTGAGGAATCCTTGATTTATATTTTTGCTAGTTCTGAAAACAAAAACAAAAAGATAATTTGCTTGCTATTAACTTGCCACAAAAAATTAATAATTTCTACATTGATTGAAATTCTGAAAAGCCACCAATAAAAAACACTCAAATATATATATATATATATATATATATATATATTGGAGTTCATCTAATTTTATTGCAAATATTTAAATTTAGAAACTTTTATTTAGAGGTATAGGAAGACGCAATCCAGTAGGCCTTCAGAAGAACACTCGGTCGGATGAATGAAATGTCAACACCACCTCACTGACATAGACATCCATCCACTTTATCTATCCAACCCGACCCTGAGACTCAGTTTGCGGAGAGAGTCAACTCCTACGCAATCTGACCCAATGGAAGTGTGACAGATGGCGGTTCCGGATTCGATAAAATTAGCGGAAATTTGTCAACGTTTGAAGGGGGTTGCGATGCTTATCATTTCCGAACTTTGTTTGTTCTTGTTACGTTTGCTTTTAAAAAAAAGGTAAAGTTAGAGGTGGAGCTTAACCACTGTTATGTTGCAGAAACTGGCAACGTGCATTCGTTTCTTTGGTGGATTCTAAGACCTAAGAAGATGGATGACATTTGGATGGATGTGTTTGTGGGAACTAGTGCTTGCGTTCATCCGCCCAAAATCAACTTGTGTGAAATGAATTTGTTGAGGAATAATTCTATTTATGTTTGAGGTTCTTAAGTTTATAATAGAGAAACAAATGTGAGCATTTGTGAGATGGGTCTCAAATAGAAATTAGCTTAACATATCAACTGAAAATAAAGAAGAGCCTAGTGAGCTAATTAAAGTGAAGAAATTGTGAGATTCTCAAATGATTGATTTTAGTTAAAGAGCACTTTGTTATTTTAACTGTGATTTCATACTGTTCTGCATCCAAACTTCCCACACAATCCCACTAACTCGCGAAACATAATTTGGAATAATTGTAGTAACATTTGTTTTACCAACAAATAAATGAAAACAATAGAAATATGTAATATAAATGGGAACATCATTTTTAAACTAAGATTCTTTCAAACACTGACTTAGATCTTTGAATGATGCCATATGGTATTGAATCTTTGAATTTTTATAACCTATGTTTACTCATATAGAATTTGAGCATACCAACATTGGATGACCAAAAACGTTTAAGATGAAGCAATTGTTTCACTGCTTGCATCAATATTCTTGCATGCTATTCTCATAATTAATGTAAACAATAAGATATGTATATGTGTGTATATATATATATATTATTTTTCTTAAACTGGCAACTAGATTGAGTATTTGATTCACTTGTATAACTTTTCTTAAGTAAAAGTAAGAAACTTTGTACAATATTAAAAAAGTAGTAACAGACTCAAATTTTGCCAATGTAGAAATTAGATTAATTGGAGACACAAATTTGGACTTCGATCTTCTTCTTCTTCTTCTTTTTATCACATAAATTTAATTTTTTAAAGTACGTCTATAAACATCTCATTTAGTTAAGAATGCAGTATTGTGATTCTTTCAACAAAATAATAAATAATAATAATAATAAAAAAAACAGGAATACAAACTATCACCACCTTAAAATATGGTCCCAATATTTTCTTAGTAAATCTTAAAGACATAGACGATGTGGCTGTTGTGATACCATAACATACTGAAAGTCAACAGCAAGTAGGTGTAACATATGCATAATTTCTTTATTATTCTTATTATTATTTTTTTGTGATATCTATTGGTTGATAAAAACATTAAATTCATCTATATATATATATATATATACATGCACATACAAGTGATATTCTTTTAATTGCAAAAGATCTTGAAATCCGATCTATTGAGAATACTCTAATAAAAATACAAGAATAGTAAACATTCTACAATAACAAAGATAAAAAAAGAATGAACAAAATTAAGATTAATATGGATCAAGACATTTCGGTATGGATAGAGAGCAAGTAATTGTGGGTATAGAAATAACTTAATATGGATTGTGATATTAGAAGAAATTAATGAAAGTTTAGTGATAAGTACATGTTACACACACATATACATGCTTATACTTATCCATTAATATATATATATATATATATATATATAATACGAGTTTCACATGCTCTAACAAAGACGTCACGAGACTCCAAAAACGGAGTAAGGATTCTTTTTAAACAGGATTTTGTTTTAGAATTCTTTGCATTAGCGTTAAAGATCCTTAGAATCAGCAGTTTGTGGGAAGAATCACTAATTTCCCTTTCACTTTTTTATACACGTTTTTTGTTTACCTTTTTCCATTTAAAGTTTTCCCTCTGCAACAAGCGACCTCAGGTTTAGCCACAGTGACATGGCAAAGCGTTCCCCTGATTGGGAACAAGCCCCCGAGATCGCATGCGAACGCAACCCGGCGCGAGGGGAACTGCACATCCCAATTTCGCTCAGACACAAAGCAAACGGATCCGCGGAAGGGGACCACACGGGAACAGTGAGGCACGAGAACTTGGGAACGGAGATATAGGCCCCCCCCTTACCCGCGCCCCTCACCCATTTCCGGATTCGCGAAACGGCCATAGGCGCCTCTCCACGTCATACATCAGTTGGCGTCAAATTCCACCAGGGGTCCGCATTAATCCAGTTGGCATCATATCATTGGTCATCTGCTTCACACACCCGTGGGGTGGAATTTAGTGTTGTCGTGCCTGAAAAGCTGACAGCTACAAGGCTGTGCTAGATCTGACCTCTATTATCTATCTATGTATAGATATATTCTCTCCCTCTTTATTATAATTATACCTATTTAATTTAGAGCCCTAATCCGGGGATTCTGTTGGAGGCACAGAATCGTTCATGATCCAGGTCACTTAATTAGTATGGGTTGATTTTAATTTTTGCTTATTATTATATTAACCCAATGGCTCTTCCACTAGTCTAGGCCGGTGCTTCAAAAGGATCGATCTCTGGAGGCCTTTTGTTATTTGGGGAGAGGGGGGGGGGATGAGAGATTTATCACTGGCTAATTCTATTTTATTTTTTTTTAAATTTTATCAGCTTATCCGAAGCCCCATGAGGAAATTTCGTTTTGGCAAATAAAAGAAAAAGGGAATGAATGACTCTTTTTATTTTTGAAGCTAGTGTTCTCATTGGTTGGATTGATTAATAGAAACTGAAGGAGAGCGAACGTCCCGCAACTTCCATGGTTCAAATTATCAAACATTTGTTCAATTTGGGACTTGGTGAGTTAGAAAATGTGTGATCTGAATTCCAATAATAATAGATCTTTGGAGTGATTTTGTTATTTATTTTGAGTCTTTAAAAAACTAGGAAAACTAACTAAAAACTAAATCATTGATCATTGATCTTGTGTAATGCTCTCTTCTTTTGCTTGGTGTATGGCAGATATCTTTGTTAAAAAAGGATTGCACTGGAGATATTCTATATATATATATATATATATATATATTAAACTACTGAAAAGGGATCATTGAAAGGATGTTGTCATAATTTAGCAGTCTGTTTGTTAAATACATATTGCATGTAAATTTTGAAATGTTTAAAAATAATAATAAATTAAACCTGATTTGAATCTGCAGTTTTAGACGAAA